GTCGGTCAGTCATGTATGCGCCCATGATTTTGCCTCAGGCTCAGGTCCAGGACCATATCATTATGTCTTCGCTCTAGCTAGAGTCCAACTTTTAATACCGTACGTAGTACTAGTAGGCTCAGCACTTCTTGGTGCATGCCTGCTGTTCAGAATACCGGTATCTGGAACTTCAACTACCGGGACCACAAAAAGATTTTGAAAGTAAATTCACTCGATGACACCGCGGGATTTCCGGCAAGTAGACGCTTCATCAGTAGTTCCTCAATTTGAGTTATCCCCCTCAGAGTCAGAGTTAGGAGAAAGAATCACCGACTGCCAGTATAGAGCACCGGGCACCCCCTCACAATGTCACATGGGAGTGCTCCTACTCAGTGGCAGTGCCAGTGTCAGACAGGCACGTATGCACATGGCAGGTGCCAGGGAAGCCTTCAAGTTCGTGTGTACGTGCACCTACCTCGGTAGATGTGCATCATCAGCACGCATTTTGCCCTGGCAAAAGCAAGGCGATGAATCAGTTGTGGATGTAGCTGGGAGAGGATGGCGCTTGCTTTACCAACCATTGGTGATTGCATAATCCTAGTGCTGTCCATTCAGCAGATTGCGGATGAAGCTCAGGTGAACAAGAACCTTTCACGTCAACTTGCTTGGCATGCTGGCATAGTCCGTGATGTGCTGTCCGAAGCGCAAAAGAAGGCCACTGGTTCGCAGATGGCTGCCATTCCTCAACTGGCAACCCTTAAGGCCCTCCTCAATGATGCGCAAAGCCTCCTTTCAAAGTTTGTCAAAAGAAAGTGGTTGAGCAGAATGTGGAAGAGGGCAGACGATTTCCAGGCTTTCCAAAACATCCATCGACGGCTTGATGCGAGCATCCAGGCCTTGATGCTAGAGCTGGTGCTCAATGTCGCGGTCCCAACTTTTAGCATAGAGGAAATGGATGCCATTGAGGAGGCAGATTTAGAGCAGGACAGTGTGACAGTCAAGCGGCTACAGGAAGAGGCCAAGAAGTCCCCCAGCCAGGATGAAGGGACCGAAGCAATGTTGGCACAGTGGTCGGAGGTCCTGAGCGCAAGGCAGAGCGCATCGCACGCCAGGAACATTTCTGTAGGATTGAAGAGGGAGGAGCTGACAGTCGGACCTAGAATCGGGTCAGGGGGGTTCGGCATTGTTTATGAGGGGCGATGGAACGGCGCGCCGGTTGCTGTCAAGGAGCTGCCCTACGGTGTTGACCTCAACGAGGATGAGAGGGACGCATTCAGAAAAGAGGCCGCTTACCACACAGACCTCAGGCACCCCCACGTCGTCCAGGTCTTTGGCACGTGCACCGATGACCATCCGTTCTACATTGTCATGGAGCTCATGAGCGGGGGCAGCCTGTCGAGCCTCATTAAGCGGAGAATGAGCGGGCAGGCGGCAGGGGTTGCAGAGAGCCTTTTCCCCGTCGAGGTGGCACGGAGCATGATGCTCCAGATAGCCAGAGCCATGGTCTTCCTCCACAGCAGGCAGATCATCCATCGGGACTTGAAGGCGGCCAACATTTTGGTGAGGGTTCTGGATGAGCGCAGTGGGGCGTGCGATGTCAAAGTTGCCGACTTTGGTCTGGCCACGCTGAAGACGGCGACTACTGTGCACAAAACAAGGGCTGGTACGGGCCGCTGGATGGCGCCAGAAGTTGCTGACGACGGACCGTACTCAGGGAAGTCCGATGTGTACAGCTTTGCAATGACCTGCTTCGAGATCTTAACGGGCAGCGTGCCTTTCAGCAGCCTGAAAACGGACATCGCTGTCATGAGGGCGGTGGACAGGGGGGAGCGGCCAGAGCTTCCTGAGAGCTGCCCTGCCGAGCTGCGGGCGCTCATTGAGAGCTGTTGGCAAGAAGACCACAGAGCGCGGCCGGCGTTTGAAGAGGTTTGTGAAAGGCTTGAGGGGATGGGGGCGCTGGGCGGGCTAGACGGGGGTGTAAGGAGGGAGAGCCGAGGACCCTCTCCTGTGACGGCACCGGGGGCTGGAACGGAGGCGGCAGAAACGGAGGTGGCAAGCCAAACCCTAGATGAGATCAAAGAGGGGGCCAAGGAAGAGGAGGAGCAGGTGCAAGCTCCGGAGTGGAGGTCAAATGCCGACCTTGAAGGGGTTAGCCCTCAGGGGTCCCTGTCCGTGGCAGCCAGCACGCGGAGTGAAGCAGTGTCCCACACTCCCACGGATAAGCAGGCGGTCGAACTTCGAGGTGACTCTGAACGGGGCGTAGGAAAGGGGGTGCCAAGGGGGACAGCGGCACTTTTGGAAGCGTCGGGTCAGGGTGCCGGGAGGGTTGGTCAGGCGCTCCCCCCCCCGGTAGCGCCAAAGGAAGTGGATCAGGCAGTCGAAAGTGTAAGCGAGCCGGTGGCTGCGAGCCTAGACGATGTCTATCGGAGGGCCTACAGGGGGGAGCCGGGGGCGCAATACGAGCTGGCGCTGTGCTATTATATCCCACGGCTGGGTGCCCCTCTAAACTTGAGGCAGGCGGTTGAGTGGCTAGAGAAAGCGGCAAATGGAGGGGTCGCAAAAGCTCGTGCGTTGCTTGCGAGCTGTTATTCCGATGGGTTTGGAGTTGCAAAGAATCCAGAAAAGGCCGTCCAGTTGGCATTGCTGGTTGAGGGGGAGCCCCTGGCAAAGTATGTTCTGGGGGTGGCATACCTGGTTGGGTGGGGGGGTGTTCCACGCGATGACGCAATGGCAGGGAAGCTGTTTGCTTCTGCTAAGAAGCTTCTGGAGGTTCTCGTACAAGACTCCAAGGTCAGAAAGGCGAATCTTCTGGCAGACTCATCGGCCTCTTCAATCTGATGTTTGGTCAGGACTATCAAGCGTGCGGATTGAAGCGGGCCAGTACGACTACACAACGAAATTTCTGCTTCGTCTCATGGAAGCTGACCAATCAGCATATGGAGTGATCAGGGGAGTTGCAGCTCTGGATGTTGTAAAGGCTGTAAAGTAGACTGGATTCCTTTGTGCTTTCCGTAAGGTAAAGCTCACCCAGCACAAAGAGAGTGCGATCAGTGCCCTCTTGATCAAAGTATCCATTTCTTTGGAAGTTCCTGAGTCGAACGCAAAAGCTCAACTACAGGCAAAACTCGATCAGAGGCATTAGGCAAGATGACGAGGCATGACCATTTTCTGCAATCGATCCAACTCCTTCTTTGTAGTCCCTTCCATAGAAACAGCAGGTGTCTTTCTAAAGTATCTTCACTTCCCGTCTGGGAGCGTTTGGCTGTAGCCTCGAACAACACAAAGTCAGGCTGGACAAGTACGTTCAAGTTCACCGTCAGCTTTTGAGGAACCTTGTTGATACATATCGCAGGTGCTTCTTCTGGTTGTTGAAAAGGCGTAAGGTCACAGCCATTAAGCTAGCGTGCTGATGCACTCTCCGTCTTTTGATGGTAACGAAAGCCCCCGCTGTTCCGTCTCCACAGGCGCCAGATCTGCCCTTATTTCAGGCCCGCCTGGGAGACTGCTATTCATATGGACGTGGGACGTCGACGGACTCCAAACAGGCCTTGGCTTTGTACCAGGAGGCAGCGGAGCAGGGGCATGCAACAGCACAACTCGACGTCGGCGATTGCTTAAGCGACCCTTTGCCAATGGAGTTCCGGGACAAGCATGGGACACGTGCATACTGGTATTGGAAAGCGGTAGAGCAAGGGCTTGCAGACGCCCAGTTCCAGCTAGCCCGACTTATAGAGTGTGGGAACGGCACAGAATGGCAGAAAGCAGAAGCTGTTCGGTTGTACTCTGCGGCGTTGGTAAATTGGGACCAAAACGAACTTGCCAGGTGGTTCCAAGAAAACACCCGCGCTGGGCTTCTCGCCTGGATCTTCCGTCAAGACACCCGTGCTTCTCTTGGGGTCGCTTCTCAACTTGGACACATCAACGGGCCGTTACTACTTCGGATGCTCAACCTGAGGGTCGTTAGCTTGGTTGACCTTTCAACTGACGTAGACATGCTGGCAGCCACCCTAAAGCGGGGGCCCTTCCCAGCGCTGCAGACGCTGAACCTTAAAAACAACTGCATAGGGTGGCGCGGCGCCATGGAGCTGACAACCGCCATAAACCGGGGCTTTCTTCCGGCGCTGTGTTTGCTTGACCTCTGCGGGACTCAGATTGGGGTGCTTGGTGTCCACGCATTGGCGGGTGCTCTTGAGCGGGGGTCCCTCCCGGCGCTGCAGTCGCTAGACCTACAGTGCAACAACATGTTGGCGCGGGGGGCAAAGGCACTGGCAGGCGCCCTGGAGCGGGGGCCCTTCCCGGCGCTCCGACAGCTGCAGCTCGGTGGAAACGAGATTGGGGAGCAGGGCGCCCGAGCGCTGGCGGCCGCCCTGGAGCGGGGGTCCTTCCCGGTGCTGCAGTCACTATCCCTACGGGGCAACAAAATTGGGTTGCATGGGGCGCAGGCAATGGCCCGCGCCCTTAAGTGTGGGTCTGTCCCGGCGCTGCAAGAGCTAAATCTTTCGGAGAACGGGATTGAGGAGCAGGGCGCCCGAGCACTGGTGGTCGCCTTGGGAACGGGGTCCTGCCCGGCTTTACAACGCCTTTTTCTTGGGGGCAACGGAATCAAGAAGAAGGAGCATAAGGCGCTGAAGGCCGCCCTTCCCGCTGTTGCAATAGATATCTAGCGCAGCCATTGATTGGCAGGTTTGTACCCACAACTCCAATTGCTCCTGGACTTGTTCTGGATGATATAATCTGGCATTTTGGGACTCTTGGATGATTAATCAACTACTTGACTCTCAATAAGCCGTTCAGGACTAAGCCTTGTACATCTAATTTGCACACAGAGCATGTTCGCAAGCTTGAAAAGTTCTTTCTTTTCATTGTTTTGGGGATCGTAGACACTTGTGCTGTGTTAAAGCAGATGAAGTACGTCGCTTTCGAAGTTTGCGGGTAGTGGCATGGCTAAATGCATTTTAGAGTCTGTCAACTCAGATTATCTTGATTTCCTTTCAGACGATCTCTCGTTCCAAATGTTCAGGAGACGAGCTTTGAGAATGTTTCAGATGGGCCCCGCAAAAATTAGTTGCTCTGTTTTCTCAAATCGGTAATCTGGCAGGGGTGACAGTCTCCGCCAAATGAAAGGCTGGTTTTAAATTGATCCGAAGACGTTCAGCAATGCTCAGACCTCCTCAGGGCAGCTTTTAGTTTTATCCCGAAAGTCAGAACTTGTTTTTTGAATCGTGTAAGGTGGTCTGGCAGCAACAATCGCATCTAACCGGGACTTTTTGGGAAACTAGATTGGCTCCCTGACATTGTGTAATGCGATTTAAGGGCCTGGTACCAGTCAAGAGGAACTTGACTTTTGACAGCGAAGTTGAGGGCCTTCTGGTCTTGCGCACCAAAGTGCGTTCCGTTTCAAACTTTCCGTAAGCACTCACTTCCAGTATCAGAGACGACCACTCGATACTGGAACCGCTTCATTTTGGATAAAGTTGTCAGATACATTTGAAGGACGTGTATTCTGTCTCGGCCTCCTGGGTTCGTGAAAGAGAAGGGCGAATTCGGGGACAGTCTTTATCCCGTCACTCAACAGTCTTGGTATCACTGGGGCAGATCCGGATTAGTCTCGCCAAAATTTCGAGTGAACTTCGGCCGGCGGGTTTCACCCCCTCAATCTGCTAAACAACGGCCGAGGCTTTGAAGCGAACGGATTAGCCCTCTTTGTTTCGTGACAACCCGGCTCGGTCACGTTTCGTGGTCAAGTCTCGCTCTTCGATTTGAAAGGATGCGTTTTTCTGAAGTACGTAAACAAGATCTGGCAGCGCTCTCGTTATCTCACGGCTGTGGATGCTATTGATCTTCTCTGACCGGAGAACTTTGGAGCAGCTTATCATAAACCATCGCCGGAAGTCGAAGGCCCACCTTCCTGGATGCTCGACATCACGGTAGACGCACTTTTAGTTGGGAGTTTGCAAAGCAGACCTGTACGGAAAGGAGAAGCTTCCACACTTGCTCTGTGCCCTGTGCATAATCTATCGATTGGAACTCTGAGCAGGGCTTATATTTCTTCAACGGGCGAAGCGCGAAGGAGGTTTCACAACCATCACGAGCGAGTCCTCCACGCACCTACCTTCGGATGCCGTCGAGGCAGGTCAAAAAAGAAAAGAAGGGATTGTTCTCCTCAGTTCTCTTGGTTTTCTGACACGCTAAGCTCGAAACGAAGTACGTCGAACTAGATCGAACCACCGGTCTTGTGCCACACTTACGGATCTCCCCTTCTCCTACAGGTGACTTAGTCGCTGGCTGACGAGGCGCCGGCGACGACGCCACTTGCCCGGTGGAGGCGACGTCAGACTTTCCGGGTTGATTTATGTAAGTGATTGATACCAAAGTATATATCCGTGGTCGAAGCTCGAAGCTTGTTGGACGCAGCCTTCGGACCTCTTGACCTCCACGCTTCAGGTGCACGAGAACCTTCCGCCCCACCGCCAGTGATAATACGGAGAACACTAATAGAAAGTCAGAGATTGATCACGCCCTGTTTGAGGTACCATAATTGCTGTCATACTCTACCGTTTTAGTCACACGAGTCCGTTGATCAGTCTTTGGCAATGCATGCAACTTTTCCAATAGGTCAAAGTGCGGCGTCTAAGTTCACCCGGTCGGGCACAATGTTACGGTGACAGTAGGTTAAAAACCGCATGAAGTCCGACCGGCAGTGCAATTTATGATCGCACTGACCGCGTAGCATACTAAACACGATTGCATGTGATACGACAAATATGCCGCAGCATGGCACGTGGGGGTCATTACTGTGCAATAATCGCAATCGATGACCCGGCACCAAGTTTCGAGTCGCCGGGCACGGCCGCGCACTCGCATGCGCATCGAAGTAAAGCCTGAGGACTTCAATGCAACTTGGTGAGGGTCGACGCATTTTCGGATCCTCGTCGAATTGATATAGGTCAATGTATCCGATTCTACAGTCGTATACTACAAACAAGCTACAATCACTGCAGTCGCTGCAGTCTGAAACTATATTGAAGGATCATGCGTAATGTACTCAGCTCGATGATGCATGATTGCGATCGAATCTGGATTGCACTAGCTGCGGCAATGATGACGTACAATAAAACTTCAGAGTGCAATTTCTAGTATAATATTTTTGATCTTGGTGCGCAAACATGTGTCCCATGCTCAATTCACAGCTAGCATGCACTGCAGCCTGCCAGTCCAACATGTTCAACGGTTGTCACCTTGGGCCTGGCGGCTGGCTCAACTTGCCGCATTGCTAGCGTTTTAATATAGTGCTCCGCTGAAATCAAGCTAGTTGAAGTTTCTCCGTCGAACTTCCCTGCCAGCAACTTGACACTAGACTTGGAAGCAAAGCTGGCTTTTGGCGGTTGTCCTTGCTATGTATATCTGCTAGCAGAGTCATGTATATGAATTACACCAACCAATATCAATCTGTCACTTTCTACTCACGGATTCAGACCAAATGACAGACCCGTTCGTTGCTCAACCCTTGGGCAATCTACGTCAATCAGAGGGTCAGGCGCAGTAGCAGAGCGTTGCTCGTCTTAGTTGGCAGACATCTTATCAGTTGAACTAAAGACACTAGGCGCGCACAGCATCGTATTTACGGAGGCCCGCTTTTCCTTCACAATCAAGTCGTCAAATGTTGTAAAAGGTGATTGCCTTGTGACTTCCCTTTCGATTGGTAATCCGCAACAAGACTCTTTCCGTCATGACCGCAAGATTCCACGAACACTTTCCGCATCTTTAACGTACTGCTGCCGCTAAGCCGGACTCGTGCGTAAACGGCGATCCTTCCGGTGGTACTAATCCTAGGTGCCGCATCACGCGCAGCTGCCGGGCCCGGCGTTCGGCTTTCGGCTTGTCCTCCACCGCATGTGCCTTGCCTTTCCGTTTCCGCTCCTTTGCCGCCATTGCCTCAGGCGGCGACGCCTGCGATGAGGAGCAACGGTCAAGAACCTAACTTGATGCAGTGGCCATCATTACAAACACGTGGGATACTCATTCCGCCGTGTTGGGGACTCTCCTGCGCTGCTCGCCCTTTTCTTCTCTTGCGTTGTCAGCCCCGATTGCAAACGAAAGGAATAGCTGATTCTCGAAGCCAATCCGTCTTGGCGAACCTCCCTTTCTCGGAACTACGGAGCATTGTGCCGAGTCAGACAACTGAGAAGTAGCAATCAGTACGATTACACTGAGAAGCTACGCATCATGCGAGAGAGATTCATGTCTTGCTCTTGCCCTCAGCAAGATAAGGAACAAAAAAACGGATGCATTGGAGCTCCAGCGGTAAAATATGATTCACCAAGAATGGTACTTTCTCTGAACATGAGTCCCCTGATCGAGACCCGTCCAAATCCAACAACGTCAACAGTCCTACCAACGTTGTTGCACGCCCAAGCACATGCAAAAAACCTACGTCAACAAATGCGGAGCCAGCTTCGTACAGACCATTCCAAAGGCCAACTGTAGAGATAGTGCCGCCAAGACTGCGACTGACAGACGTTTGCCTGACCGCTAGCTTCTTAACCAATAAGTTGACCGGTATGGCCGCTCTAACTTAGATTCCGTCCGCGGAGGGAGGCTGGCGAAGCGAATGTCCCCACCTCTTCTACGTGACCGTTTGCCTCTGGCGGCTCCTCTATATGCATCTCCTCCTCTGCTTCCGGCTCCTCAAACGGGGCAGTCCAGGCCTCCGGTAGAGCTCCGGTCTTCCGGCACTCCTCAGCCTGTGGAAGAACGATAGCCGACTGAGAGATTCAAGCACGGGGGATTTCCTCCGTGGGAGCTCTCTCTAAGTGTCTAGTAAGGGCAATTTTCCAGAAATGAGTGCGTCTATTAGTCAGCGACGAGTGCGTCTGCAGAAAGAGGGCGTTACGACTTATTGTGTATGGCACGATAATCCGTCATATCTCTCTCTGATGAACGTTTCGGACGACCAAAACCGCGTTTGCTGAGATGCATGTACGCATGTACTCTGAAAGAGACTCTCCATCCAGAGGTTGGCGGTCTGCTATCGCTCTCCGTCATAGGACGGCACGTGGCAGCAATACGGTATCCCACGAGATGTCGCAGGCAGGCTTAGCCCATTTGACGACTCCGCGCCTCAAGACTAGTTAACAAGCTGTGCTTGATTGGCAGCTCAGACTCTCAGCAAGAAGTCTTGGTTTCGGGGTACGCAGTTCCCGTCCTTCGGACCGTGTTCTGGTGGATAGAAGCAGGCAATAATTGCGGGCCCGATTGATGCAACCGGTAGGTACCAGAGACCCCCGATGAAAGAGCTCCACAGGTTCGTTTACTCAGGACGTACATCCGTGCAAGAAGACTGAAGACTCTGCAGAGAATGACCACAAAAGGAGGACAGACAACTTCCTGCAAAAAAGGAAGACACAACAAGCGGGTATAATGAGTGGAAGAAGCGGCGGAAGAGTAAGAAAGACATAGTATGCTTCCCAAGGAATAGGAGAAAGTTTGATTTCAACTAAATGCGTGCGCACCTCCTCTAGGGCTTTACATAACGGCTTCTCCTTGGTGAGCATTGAAAAGGACAGAAACCTGTTTCATGGGGGCAACGGGGTAATGACGAAGGAACGAAAGGAAGCGAGTAGCCGGAATAGTGACCCACCTCTTCGAGCGCCTTGAGGAACTGTTTCTTTTTGGTGAGCTTCTGTCGGTCCTTGAACTTGTGATCCAGATCCGACACGTTCGTTCGCCGGTCCACCCACCCGCTGCAAAACCCACACGTGCACCGTCAGCCTGACATCAGCTTGCTTCTCGGGCTTTACGCACCCGCAGCGAAAACACCTGCTGATCACAAGCGCCACGTCAGCTTCATTTAGTCAGGCGCTCTCTGGGAGAGGGAGAGACCGTAAGTGGTGTTCGCTATTCCACGTTTCAAAAAAGGAATGTCTCGACAAAAAGGGAGAAGACGAGTCTTCCTGGCAGAAAACGAGGAAGGGTTTCGAGTGGCGATTGTGCAGCTAGCCTTTCAAACGCGTCACGCCGAGTGTCAAACTTCTATTAGTCCACGCACTTGGATATAACAATATTGACTACTCGGAAGAAAACCACAGTCTGTGAAGACGAGAGGCCCATGCTTTTTCGGACGAGTCTACGCTTCCGAAGTTATATCCCGGTTTCTGGTCCTACCCCCTTTTGGGTGGGTCGGTCGGTCGGGAAAAAATGATATATATATTACAGTCAAATTATGCTAATAAGGCGGAAAAACCCAAAAGTTCTGGGGCAAAAGCCAGAAAGTTCTCCCGATTTTCAGGTATCCGTATAAAACTTGGTCTCAAAATCGAAGGGTCGAAGAACAAAAGTGGACAATATTTATTATTGTTTTCCAAAATCCAAAGGAATTTGGGTCGGTTGGGGACCGGAAACCGGGATTTAACTTCGAACGGCCTGTACAGGGGAGATTCTCTTTGGCAGATCTGGACCCCGTTTTGAGTACAGATCGATGATGCCATTCTCCGGCTATTGAACCTGGCATCTGGCGGTTTCGGTTGACTGCTATAAGACGTAATAGTTAATCAGTCCCTAGCATTCAAAACCCTGGAGGATTACAAAAATCCACATTTTGTAGAATAAGATGAGAAGCGCCTTACTAGTCGTAGGTCCCGAAGAAGCGGGCGAGCACCTCGTTGTCTGACTTCCGGCCTTCCGTAAACCGCGCGTGCACGCTGCTAGGATCGACGATCTGCGCAAAGGGAGGGCCACGTGTCATGACGTGCACGTTTTACGGACCCTTTTATTTAAGGCCCCAGTCAGCCTTTTTAAAGAAGAAACTGCACTGCGAAGGCCGCCAAGAGTCGATTCAAGCTCGCCCATTGTGAATTGTATTCGGTTAACGCTATCCAGGGGAGTTTCCTTTTGAACATGGGTTGGTAGCTGGCTGTAATTGAACTAGTCTGCACGTTGGTAGCTGGACGCTAGTCTGATTTGGATTGGAGCCCCTGCGTAAGTTCAAAGCAAATCGTGGCTCAAACCACCTGCAGTACTGGCTGTGCTAAACGGCGATTCTTTTGCAACTATTTGAGCAGCTGCAAATATAACCGAGCGCAGGTTAAGGAGGAGGGTCAAGGTTAAGATGAAAGGGCAAATGCAGTCACTTAGGGTCTTTACACACTGGGCGGGTGTTCTTTTTCGCAATTCGCCGAGAACTCAAGGTGTTGTTTTGCCCAAACTCCCCGCGCGAATTCGGGGGGTAACTTCCGCACGCAAAAGTAGTCCCGTGCGACGGTCCGAAAAAGTTTACTTTCGCTACCCGGCTTTTTTTGGGATAGCACTTTGGAACACCGCGGTGTTTTTGCTGACGTATGATCGTACGAGTCGGCGAATTGGCAAAAACACCCGCGGTGTTTTCCTTGCGACGGTACCGCCGCAACCCCTGCTGTACCGTCGCTCGAAACGAAAAACACCCGCTCTGTGTGTAAAGGCCCTTAACCAGGGTTGCGGTCAACTTCCATTTCAGAGGTTTAGAGACAGAACCGTGATATAACCTCCGCGGGCTACTAGCGGAATGATACCAACTTGGAACCAAACCGCCTGTATTGAACTCGGGCTCTCGTTTCATCGAACCTAAAAATCTGGGCTTGGTGAAAGTCGTTCAATTGGTCAACTAGAAATTCCCTGCTTGAAACCAAGGGTAAAAGATAAGGGTCTCAAAGACTAGATTGGAATGTTCACCTGTGCCGGCCACCAAGGGTAAGTGCTGAGCTTCGTTCACACCACCTGGTTTTTGCAGAGCGCGTCTCCTCTTTCAGTCACCCCAAAATTGGCCCTTCAAAACAGAGTTGACCGAAGGTGCTACTCATTTTGCTGGTCAATTATGGACTCCCAGTCCGAGAACTAGAATGGGATGTTTACCTGCGCGGGCCACCAGGGGTATGTGCTGAGCTTCGCCCACACCACCTGATTTGCCAGCTCCTCGGCAGAGCGCGTCTCCTCTTCCTTGTGTTCCAAAGCTGCCTGACGGGCGGCCTTGCGCTGGGCTTTCACAGCTTCTTCATTCTCCGCCCGCTTCCTGAAAAAGCAGATTGGCTTGTCAACCTCTTGCAAACACAATTGAAAAAGCATCTTACAATCCAGATCGTCTCGATTCTGGAAGAAAGAGAAAGTCTGCTTCCAGTAATCCTCCTTGTGCACTGATGCCGCCCGACGAGCGGCCTTGCGCTGTGCCTTCACAGCTTCTTCATTCTCTGCCCGCTTCCTGAAAAAGCAGATGGGCTTGTCAACCTCTTGCAAACGCTATTGAAGAAAGCTTTCTCCAATCCAGATGGCCTCGATTCTGGAAGAAAGAGAAAGTCTGTTTCCAATCATTTTCCTTGTGTTCCAGGGCTACCTGACAGGCCGCCTTGCGCTGTGCCTTCACAGCTTCTTCGTTCTCTGCCCGCTTCCTGGAAAAGAAATTGGCTTTTCAACCTCTCGCAAACACTGTTGAAGAAAGCATTCTCCAATACAGATGGCCTCGATTCTGGAAGAAAGAAAAAGTCTGTTTCTGATAGTCCTGCTTGTGTTCCAGGGCCGCCGGACGGGCCGCCTTGTGCTGGCTTCCTATGAAGAGCAACGTGACGACCTAGACTGAACCACTCAGAAAACGATTATGGAATTCACATAAGTTTGAGTCTTCAAAGAGAAGTTACATTTCCAAGCGGCCAGCTTCGTGGTTTTCCAGGGCGGCCTGACGGGCCACCTTGCGCTGTGCCCTCCCAGCCGCGCTTCACTACTCTCCATGCAATCCCTCAAAACGCGGAAAAGTCTGAACAACTAAAAGAAACACAGATCTAGATCTTCAGGGTTACAACCGCAACAACAAAAATGTGACCTTTAGAGGGCTAAGTAAAAGTCGCCCACCTTCTTTCCTCCTCTTTCACAGCCTCCTGCTCTTTCTTCGCCAATTGCCGCGCCGACAAATTCAGGAGCGCGTTCGAGGGCGACACCTCTCGCGCAATCCGGGGGGTCCTTGGAGTGCCTGGCAAACGACCCCCCGCAGTGAGGCCTTCCGTGTTTGTCTTCAGAAGCTTGGGGTTCTTGAACTTGGGCTTCTTTGTCGGGGGCTCCTCAGATTGGGGTGCCTCCCTAGGGGGGGCTTGGGGGGCCGCCTCTACGATTATAACTTCTGCAGGAATAATCAAATAGCCTGAGATGGCATAACTGCGTGCTTGTCTCATGGGCGTGAGTAATCTGAAAACCATTTGTTGCTGCGGGTGGTGGTGGGTTCCAGCCGAGTGCCCTCTCTCTTTTTTCTAAGGGGATCCGGTTAGAAAAGGGCGGCGGAAAGCAGCCCCGATGGGCCATTTGAATTTGGCCGCTCTGTGATTCTCTACAGAGGTGCGCTGGAGTGGAGAGAGAAAAATGAAAGAAAAAGAAAAAGCTGCCTCTAAAAGGAGAACTGCAGGGCTTTGGGGCAGCTCAGAACGACAAAGTCCCATATTGAGCCACCAGTCTGCTTTTCCTGAATTGTGAGAATTACAAGAGCGCATAAGAAGAGCAGACCGGTTGCATTGCCATGCGAAAATGTAGCTTCCTAAACATGGCAATTGGACCACAATAGGTCCTCGCTGAGATACCGTCCTTAAGAATCTGCCCGCACAATCTTAGATGGGTCCAGACATATCCCCAGAAGTACATTGTGAGCATTTTGAAGTTTCGTGTGTTCTCGCTGCAATTATCACAGTCACCTTCTCACCTGCGTCTGCACCCTTCTCCTCCATTGCAAGTCTTTTCTCACGCTCCCGTTAGAAACTAATCAATCAGCCCCTTCTCTACAGAGCGAGCTCCTGCAGCAGCTGCTGAAAATGCAGTGAGAGCGGCAGCGTGCCCACATTTACAAATACCTGATTCTGATATAATGTGCTGATTTTGTTTCATTCATTGTGGGGGCGGCTGCCCGGCCGCGACGGTGCACTGAGACTCCGGCCGCGACACGCGGCTGTCGACGCTCAGTGCGCGGCCGGCCTTTCCATTCGCTTGCAGAATCCTGAGAAACTGAATGCTGATTTCAGGGGCAGAGTGTGGCTTCTTGCGTCAGCATAATGAAGCTCATCAGCACGCTTCTGAACAACTCATCTCTCACTCAGCTGAGGCGGCTCCAAGATATCAGAGGCTTTGTTCTGAATCAAATTCCAAGCTGAGTCGCCATGGCTAAGCAAGCGCCACGTGTCCCGCGTGCCTGCTGATTGGACGAGAGTTGCGTAGCTTCCCTCGAGCTTCCACTCCGACTCTGCCGGTGCCAGTAGACTCATGGGACTGCCCAAGAGACTGTTCAACTATACCTTTGCTACTTGGTTCTTGATCATCAGGCTCTGGACTTATATTCCACGTTCAAAAGCACAACAGAACCGAAAGTCTCCCGCTCACCTTCGTTTCTCTAAAGCGACACCTCAGAATTTCGTTGAGATAGCAGGAGGAGCTGAACGCCTTTCAGCTCCTGCTCCCCAAAGCTAGCTCTCTTCTGAACAAGCAAACGTTCTTTTCGAGACCTTTGAAGAAAGTCTACTTCTGAGGACGCTGGCGGCTGCCTCGAGAGCGCGAAGTGGAGTCATCTTGCTTTTCCCTACTGAAGCGACGGACGTTGCTGAAGGGAGAGCTGGTTTTCACAGGAGTCTGCCCTCTCTGCCTGCCCCCACCTTTAAGGAGGTGCAAATTATGTGGCCAAGCTGAAGCGGAAGACGATTTGAGGTCCCAGAGTTGATGAAAGGTGAGAAGCTCTGTCTGACCTTCGGAGACGCTGACACGCAAGCTGTACCCAACTTCGTCGTTGCATCAAGAAGTGTCAGAAATGTAACAGTTGCGTTCAATTTTGCTTTTTTGGGTCCCGATCACGGAGCTTCAGTAAAGTCGTTTTCCGAACTCTTAGCTGCTGTAGATTCTGATCTCGCAACACGGAAGGGCAGGAACGTTGGAAACTCTTTTGCACGACGTGTCCATAACATACTCTTTAAGAGGATTCTGGCTTTGAACAAGAGCCCATTTTGAACTTCGCTCAAGGATTCCGGCCCGTCAAGAGCTTTGAACAAAGGACTCTCGGCCCTTCGAGAAGTTTAAACAAATCTGTCCTGGCAGAATGGTTTGCAATCCCTATACCGTACGTCCTTGAACTGCCCGGCAGGTCTTCAAACGCCTTCGGGGATTGAAAGAATCTCAAGAAGACAAAGGAAACAAAACCAGTCGTGATTAATCTCGGACTTTAAATTGGTCAGAAGTAATCTTTGGGTACTTTCATATGTGAAGCTTTTCTCTGAGGGGCAACTTCAATCATTCCTGAACAAACTTTTCATTTTCGCTCAAAAGGCTAAGGACCTCCTTTTCGTCAACGCAGGTCATCTAAAAGACCTTTCAAACGAAGTCGTCGCCGCTTCTCAAAGCTATGGCAACGGCAATCCAACTGCAAACGTCTGAGCGGACCGCAGACATGACGTCTGCGAGCTACTTCGAGGACGTCATCATGACAGAAGCGCCGCCTCTTCCGGAGTCCGCCACTCTCCGCGACAATCCGCGTGCAGCGGAACCAACGGAACAGCGGAGCCCCCTTTCCGAGCGCCTGCTGAACGCCTGCGTTCCGGCGATCCGCCGCAGAGCAAGGAAGTCCCTCGGCGGAAAGGAGAACAAGGTCGGCGCTTCGTCAACCCCTGCGCAGCCCAGAAGAGAGTCTTCTACTTCGACGCAGTCAGAAGTGTTGGAACCCTCTACGCAGATGAGAAGGGGCCTTTTTGCACCGAGTTCAGAGACTCTCGTTTTGGACGAAAACGGGATGATTGTAGAGAGCCTCGCAAACGGGGGCGATCCGCTGGCAAAGTTCGATTTTAAGATGGAGTCCGCGGAAGCGGAAAGGCGGAAGGAAGCGCGTGGAGTGTTCTGCGATGACTTAGGGGCAGATCCTGACGATGCTGACGTCATGGAGACGTACCTGAGAGCTCTCCGCGGAGGCTCTGGGGAATTCGGCGGTCGGGCAGAGAAAAGACCGAAGCCGTTCTGGATGAGGCGGCTCGGGTGGCGTACCCCGGGCGCTCAAGGATTCCGGTTCCGGCCCGGAAAAGCGATTCCGAACGGCGACGAGATGGTCTTCACGAGCGAAGAAGAGCAGCGCCGCTTCTTCCGTTACTACCCGGACGGAAAGGCCTTCCCCGGGCGGAGCCCTCCATCGCAGCGCGCCACGTTGCAGAACAGGGAATGCCACGTGGCAGGATTGGCCCGGGAGAAGACGCCCCGGGCGAGACTCGCCGACGAAACGTTCGACGATTCGTGGAAGATGGAGATGCTGCTCGCGCAGGGGCGGAAGCTCGATGACCTCAGCATGCTGGCGGAGGAGTTCGTCTGCAACAGCCCGTACCGCTCCGCGCGCGCGGCCACGTGGCTCAAGGAGATGGACGCGCGGCGCGGCCCCCTGGACCTGCGCGGGGGATCCCCTACGGGGTACGTCGCCTGCGGGCGATGCGGCCGGAAGGGATCCCCCGAGCAGATGACGAAGTGCAAGGGCGGGGTGACGTCACGTTTGCTCGGTGGAAAGAGTTCCGGGGCAGAAAAGGGGGCCTGTGAAGAGGGAAGAGGGGCGCCCGGAAAATGCGGTCGGGAGCTCTGCAAGGGATGCCGGTCGGAGTGTGCGCAGTGCGGGGAGGCGGTCTGCGGCAAGCACAGCTGGTCAGCCGGTTTCGGGTGCTCTCGACTGAGGTAAGCATAAACGGCTTGCTTATGGAAGGCATCCGTTTTGACCGCTTCGAGTTTCTCATTTCGAACAAAAGGTTCCGTTCTGCTTTGAAGGGCTTGCAGTCCTTATTGAAAGCGCACATGTGTGCTGCACAGATTCACGGGTAGTTTTGCTATATTTTTCCAGATCCATTAGAAGACACGTCGTTGTTGAATCTATAGCCAGATCTTATGTTCTGGTTGTTGCATTAGTAAATTCGAACTTATAACGGCACTGACGGATCTCTCGCCGAGACGAAGTGAAGAGGTGTACGTTCTTTGGCGGATGGTCTGGCAAGAATGTCCATTCTTGGAGGTGGCTTGATTTGGGCCTACGTTGATGTACAAGATCATTTGCTGGCACTTACAATCAAAGGTTCCGCAGCCGCTCCATCACATTCCCGACCAAATCTCCGTGCCCTATCATCCTTACATTCTCGAAGTGTCTTACACCCAGAGCGTCGTCCATCATGCAGGTTCTGCCTGACGTGTGGTCCAAGCTCTGCAAACGCTTCGAAGGCTGCTGACGTCACAGAGCGTCACCTGGATGACTTCCCATGCACTCTTTGCGACTCTATGCCACTCTGACTCTGACCACTCGCCGGGACTCCTTGGGGCGTCTGTTTGATTAGAGCATTGATCTTATGATCTGGACTGCTTTCCATAATTTCGTGGTTGAAGTTTTGTTTTGGAGTATTGTGACACGCTCGAGATAGTGCTGTAAACGTTCTGCGTGCAACTGACTCAGTGAGATGTAGCACCGGCAGCGGCCCGTTGAGAAAGTGAATTGAATCGCAGTCTAATGGTGTCAATAACGTGTGAGTGAAAGCTTTATATTGTGGGCCACAAGAGGGACTTGCCATTTTTGGGACTTGGTAATCTGTATTGAAGCGCCGTACCAAACGTTAGGAGAGGACTCAGCGACTATGCATGAACGGGCTGCGGAACCTAAGTGGGCACGTAATTACCCTTCCTGTAATCTAATACCTGTTGTCACCACTTCAAATTGACTGTCAATTCAGCCGCACTCGCGCATTGAAAATCAGCGATAGTCTCTCGTCTTAGACTCATCATACTTAAGTGGACGTTCGATCCGATACCTTCTTCCTTGTCATATCAATGTGTCTCATGTCATCTCATCATCCATTTGATCTCAGAAAGCTAGTTATATTTGCAGCAGACTACCACCCGCGACTTTGTCTTTTATGCACCATTGTCATAGTACGGCTTCATGAGTGCGATTGGGATCGATTCCACGAACTTTGGAAGCGTTTGGAACCATTCTTTTCAAAATTGAAGCTTAAATGTGTCTCAGTGATTAGGGTTCCCTACTCGATCCTTCCAATGGGCGAGATCATCCGAAGTCAACGTACCCATCACCTTTGCCAGCCGCTTGCGCGAAGCTTGCTTTTGTTTGCACGCATACCGTAGTACGTTCAGAACACATATGCAGGACTCGTACTACTAATAGAACCGATATACTTTGAAGCGTAAAATGCAAGACCATCGATCAATTACAGTAGTCGGACCGCGCCAGCCGCCGAGCGGCCCTCGCGCGTTACAAAGCCGCACATCCAACCGAATGATTCGCTCCCGGATTGAGCGTTCGCTCGACCGTGCGCGACTCCACTTCGATCAGAGATTGATGGATGCCGGCCAGAAATAATTTTGGACGGAACCTCTTGAATCGGTTGATGAGGGAGATGCCGGCAACTTTGCATCTCGAACTTCAATAACGCTGTGGTGCCGAATGCTTCGACAAACGGTTGCAGACGTAATGCCCACACAGTTCATGCCAGCAAACTCAAACGGACTGCTCTCTGTGCCTTTCATTCACTTATATAGACCCTGTTAAACGACCCTACCTTAATCCGTTGCAACGTACGAAATCAGATTATTTCCGCTACATCTAACACCTCGTACAATTCTCTGCCACCTCCAGCAACACCTCCAGGTTGCGCGCGGCCGCAATAGACCCCTGCGCGCGGGCGCATTGCTTTTAACTTGAACACAACTTCCCGCCCCTCTATAACACATCAAGGTTTGCCTGCTAACCAGCTCAACTACCAGGCTTGAGTCTTGGGTTATTGGACAATCAACCGGGCTTGAACCTAGCTTCTGGTTACCCCTGGAAATCTGGCGGGTAACCACTTTCTAACCAGCCCAGAACCATCCTTGCTTAAGGGCCATAAACTCCTGTGTTTGCGAATCAACCGCACAATAAGCCGTCGAGACGGTCCTCTCCCTTGCGCGCCGCTGCCGCGTGTTTCGCGAGCGGTTTCGTGCAACGGGCGGCTATATTTACGTCACGCCTTCTTGAGACAGCCCAAGAACTCGGTCATGGAGAATTCGGCTGAAACTGTCTGCGGCGAAGAGCCGTTTGCTGACGTCACGGGCGGGTTGGGTGACGTCAGCTGGTCGGCGGCACCGACGTCTGCAGCGGCGGGCTGGCGCTTCCTCATCTCCTGTTGGCGAATATCGACGGTTGAGAAGCTCATATGCAACGGAAACGAACGGCTACCATTGAAAGCGGAATCGTAATAAGCGACTGTTCAAGAAGCAACTAATCCATACACAAGCTGACGGTTCGAAGCCTATTCTTGCTCCTCACAAAAGAGGACGTACGGCTACGTGAATAGAAGCATCAATGGTAAAGCAAGGCGAAACAACCCGCAAAAAAAGCGAATCTTCTTCTTATTGCCATCGAATCTTACCCGCAGAACGATTTCCAGGGCGCTTGCCACGTCAGCCATCCTCGGCCGCTGCGAAGAGTCGAAGTCGACGCACGCCATAGCTAGTTCCACGACCCACTGCAGAGACCCCTCAGGCCACGTGCCCTGCAGTCGAGAACGATTGGGCAGGCTGGAATCGGAGGCTCTAAAGCTGCTCGAAAAGCGACGAGCCCTTCTTCAATGCACTAGACGACGTGTTGTTTACAGAGATCAGAATTGCCGATTTGTAAGCTAGTCAACAGCGGGGTTGAAGCTCCACAAAAACCACAGCGGATCTCCCGCTCTGTCCCCCGGACCATTGCCGTTTTCAAATTATTGAACGACCTTATGAGATCGATAGAATGACAAGCTCTGAAAGCAGTATTGAGATTTTATCGGGGAAGTCCGGTCGATCAGGGGTAATCTTTTCAACGAACTTCCAGAGCGGTTTGTAAAGGAGCCGCTCTTGAAAAACTCTCGCGCTAGCGACAGAGGCTTCACAACGGTCACGTTTTAGAAACCCCCGGATTTCCTACCAAAATGCAGAACAATCAGCAAAGGTGCATCTGATAGAAATTCCGGCTCTGCCTACACAGCGACAGTCAAAGATTTTGCACTCTTCACGAAGCTATCCGCCCTTTGATCGTTCACCGAAGACTCTTGCGTTGTAAATAAAAACTTGACGTGATTGACAGGACCAAAAAAAGGACTAACCTGGATCAGCGGGTCGGCCAGCGCATCGAGCGGCGCCGCGCTGCTCTGAATGAACCTTCTCGCCCATTGAACGATGTCCAAGTCTTTCGCAATCACCGCGCGCCGGCCTGAGATGAGCTCCAAGAGAACGACGCCGAAACTATACACGTCGTTCTTGTCGGTCACGTGACCGTGCAAGTACCTGCAAAGCAGTCAATCAACTCCGTCCGTCATTATGGGGAATGCGTTCCACGGGGAATCTGTCGTTTTCAACGCGGGCTCAGGTGTGATCGTTCCTTCATTTTCTTGATCAGTCACATTACACTTCCAACCTGCAACTCAGCGAGTAGGAGCTCCTCTAGTAAAAGGCTTTCCTCCGATATGCAGAAAGCGGTGCTGGAACTCGAAAAGATTGCACGTTGTCCCTGCAACCTCTGTCCTAGGTACAGAGCGCGAACCGTCTTCACTTTGGGACGGGGCCGGAGAGTCATGGATTGACGGAGATTAGACAGGCATCGGAAAGACCATGCGACCCACGCTTTCGGAAGACGGTCGTCGTCTGGGCTCCTTCAAGAAAAGCTATGACAGCGAGCAGTCCCTTCATTCCGGGAGATCTATAAAGGTGACAAATGGGAGGGGCAGAATGCAAGAAAAACGGGCAAACCACTCTGAGATACGCAAACGCAGAGTTCTCAAGAAGCGTCTACTCACTCGGGGGCCATGTATCCCATCGTCCCAAAGAGCTTCGTCGTCTGGGTCTGTCCGGACTCGTCCGAAACTAGTTTGGCGAGGCCGAAGTCAGAGACCACCGCGTCCAAACTCTCGTTCAGAAGGACGTTGCTGCTGTTGAAGTCCCTGCGAAAGCACGGGAACAAAGCCGCTCAGCCGACCTTTCCCGTTTGATGAATAGTACCCGTGTTCTGAGGTTTGATTCGTTCTCACAAATGTGAGGTCTTTCGGAACGAGGTTTCATAGTCTGAATCCTACACCGTGCACGTCGTCAGCCAGACTTTCATGAGGAGGCACGTGATGCTGAAGTTTCTTTTTTACCCATTCAGACAAACCGGGTTCCCCGGAGGTGTCTGCAATGAAAGTTGAATGAAGCCGTCTTCCAGACCTTGCTGTAACTTCACGTTTCTTGCGGGTATTTCAGCTACAAATGTGCCCGCTGATGCTTCTCTAAAATGTTGAGAGCTACTCATTGATAATTGCGCGGAAATGGTACCATGCAACATCTGTGGGCTTGAAGAGTACCTGTGAATAACCTGGGGCGAGACGTCATCGTGGAGGTACGCAAGGGCACGTGCCGCCTGATGAGCTATGGTGACCCTTCTGAAACAGCCCAACGGGGCGGTCTGGGCAGGCCTTTCTGCGCGATGGAAACGGAAAATTCATCAGGGCATACGAAAGTCGGAAGAACGTAAAACCCCTCAAAGAACACGTGAGCAGAGTGCGAGTATATTCGATTGCAGCCTTAGTACGAGAAATCGAGGTAGTGTCGAGAAGTCAGCCCTGAAGTCTCCTCGCTTTTCGTGTCTCGACAAAATGAAAAAGGTACCGGCATGGGGAAACAAGGGCGCAGAGAAGGAGGCCTGTGAAGCTGAACAAGAAAGGCCGCTTTGTCTTCATTCACGTATATGGTTGATACCCACACTGTTGTGCAACCGTGCAGACAACTGCTGAGTATCCAGATGTTTGACCCGCTCTAGCTGCGCTCTTCTTTACATCGTAGTGCTGACATGAAGTAAAGAGGCCTACCTCGTGTTTATCAAGCCGCAACGCTTCAGAGGGACATATATCATCAAGAAAGCTGAGAAGAGAGTCTCTTTGTCGGCGCTGGGCACTTTCGTAAACGCTTTCCCAAGAATTGTTGCTTCCGGAGCACTGACAAGACAGATATCCGCAGAAGTAAAAACGTACCGTTCCCATCTGCGAGCCAGCAAGTGTTCGGAAACGAGAACTGCCTTCAAAAATTTGGCCCAAATCTCCTCCAGGCTCCACTTCTAGCTTACCATGCAGTCGTCTGAAGAGGCTCTGGTTGACCATAAGCGGATACACCAGGGCGCGCTCCCCTTTGTCCGCGCAGTAGCCAATGAACTCCAGCAAGTTGGGGTGCTTCAGTCGGCTCATCATGTCAACTTCGACGCGGAACTGCTTCTCTCCCTGCAAATACGTTACCACACACGTTAGTTTTCGGGCCCATAAGTACGGCTGGTTAGAAAGCGGTTGTAAGTCCGACAACCAGACTTGAGCGGATCCCAACTCCGCAACAAGGTTACAGCCCCTGATTGAGCCGGCACATCCATTCCACCTCAAAGTCTCTCCTTGGAAGTCAACGAGTGGGGTGATCGATAACCGAGTAGAGTGATCCAGTATCCAGTATTTGAATAGATTGATTAGTAACCGAGCAGAGTCATCAGTTGACGAGTAGGGATAAGTCAACAAGTAGAACCATATACTTAAAGGAGCGAAGTGAATTAATCAACGAGTAGAGTGGTTAGCTGACGAGCTGAGTGATCAGTGCTCGCAGGATGGCTGCGAAGAGTCGCCACGAAAGGAAGTAAGTTCCAAGACCGACGGACCAAAAGTTGGGCTGACTTACGTGCTTGCCTGGCAGTGCCGTCACCTTCTCAAGCCGCTTGATCGCGACCTCGCGGTTATCCAGAACCCCGTAGTAAACCCGGCCAAACCCGCCCTCCCCGACCAGCAGCGTGGGGCTGAAGTTCTGCGTCGCGTTTTGGAGCGCTGTGAACGTGAAAAGCAACGGCACATGCCCGCTTAACCCCTCCAGGTTAAACCCTCTAGGGGTTTGAGTAGTATCTGAAGGCGTCCGAAGCTGTGGATTTTCACACTGTTCGGACGAAGAGTCCGAATATGCGGCGAGCTGCGCGTTGCGCTTCAGAGTGTCGCCGATCGTGCCGCGCTGCCATTTCTTGTTTTCCAGATCGATGGCTATGTGTAACGGTTTCGCCTCCTGGTTTCCGAAACTCTCCGAGCTCGTCTGAGAGGGGGTCCCCGCCATGGGCTGATAGCCGGCCCCCCCTTTCTCGAGATTGGAGCCTGCAGACAACATGTGAATTAATACAGTTATTGCAGAACGCAGGAATCGGAAAAGGGACAACTCAAGACGAAGTATGCACTGAACGACTCTTGAAGGAGTCGAAGTAGTTGTACAATGAACTTGGAATTAGTAAAGTCAAGTGGAGACATAAGGTTGGACTGAGGATCTGGTTTCGAAGCAAGCTGCTCGCAAGAAGTCGCACTCTGGCGTCGAATCTTCTGAGGTGGACGTCTTGCCATGGTAGTGGAAGAGAGTGAGGATGACTTAACCATGCATCAAAAACTGGATGAACTCAAGGGAGATGGTTTCTAAATAGCCAAGATTACAATCAGCCCGGATTGACACCAAAAAACCCTAATACAGATTATTTCTTGCTCCACGCGCGCACCCACCCTTAACCCCCAAACCGAACCTACCCGTCTTAGTGCGCGCGAATACCTTGTTATTACGTTAGCTTGCTCTCAATGTACTTGATATGGATCAAAAGTGGCACGCCAATTTCAAGGAAGACAACTGTTTTCTAACGCTTTGACGTTTCCATGGATGTTCAAGCTAATTAATACACGCATTTTGAAGTCGGGACAATGGCCGTGTTACGTGAGGGACAACTTACCAATGAACGGACCTGACCCGGAGGGGGATGACTTATTAGGATCGCTTAGCATCAACTGGGCGCTCTTCCTGCCCTTCTTCAGGTACCGGTGCCTCAGATAAACAACCAGGCAAACTGTCTTGGCCAGCATGCCAAAAGCGAGGCACACGCAGATGGTGATGATTGTGTCGGTCTTGCTCCAGTGAAAGCCGCGCCCTGCGCGCGAGGAAAAAGCATCGCGTGTCTGGAACTAAGATTATGTGCAGGAGTATCGTAGTAATGAAATGGTTCAAGGTATGATAAGTTCGCCAGCCTGAGGCGGCAGGGGTAGTTTGGGGGTTAGCGTGGGTAAGGGTGCAGAGGGGGTGATTCATTGGGTTAGGTTACTGGTGTTAGAAAGAGCTTATTAGTCCTGGCTCTCATTTTTCCAGAATAAGTCCGTCGTTAATGATACATAAGTTCAACCGTCAAGCAGACTTCAAAGCCAAGCATCCCTGACAAATGTCAGCCAGACTTAGAAGTCAAGCGTCAAGCGTCAAACAGGCTTAGAGGATAACAACCTTGTCGGTCTTGCCCCATTCGTAAAAGCTGCTTTTGCCCAAATCAAAGAATCGCCACGTGTCAAGAGATTGGACGCTCCAGTGGCAGTCACATCATGATGGGATGGACTTGAAAGTTGAGCCTCCTATCGTGGCTGTAAATCTTAGTTTAAATCCAATGCAGGTTGCAAGGTATGCCCATGCCAAGATCATGCGTGTGCAACTTTTAATGAAGGCATGAAAGGAGACAAGTTCAAATGACGGCTGCCGGCAGAGCGATAGGCTGGAACAGAAGCACGCCACTTGCTGCCTACAAACTGACCTCCTTCAAAACAGACCTATGTAAGTCAACAGCGCATGTCAGTACTGACAGAAGGAACTTGAGAGGCCTTCACTGAACACTTCAAGCACAACAGATAAAGGCAGTCTTTCACCTTGAAAATTCACGACTAGTTGCCAAGCGAAGTCAGAGTACATTCACTTCCACCTTGAAATCTCACAAGTCAGCTAGCAGGTTACATTCACTTCTCCTTCCGCTTGCCAGGACCTTCGGACCCTTACCACAATTGCAAGTGATGTCAGCAGCGGTGTCGCCGCAGCGGGTTTTGCCCGCTTTTCCATTGGTGCAGGTGCAAGGGGCGTCAGCAAGGCACGTGCCGTTTGTGGCCAGCTGCTGAGAGCTGTTGTCTTGTGAGGCAGTCAGCTCAGCATAGCAGCTCAACACCAGTAGAAGCACCACCAAAACTCCTTTGCCTCTCATTGTAGCTTCGGCGCAAGCTGCGTTCTTCGTGAAATATTGCCTTTAGGGCCCCTGAGCCTAATAGGGCTTCTCCTTCGTCCAAGGAAGCCCTTCAAAGTCCCTCTAAGAACAGATATTGTGGCGTCACCCGATGGATGCAACACCGCCTCAAATGTGACACATCTTCACCAGGTTCTCGAAGGGAAAGCAGAAGACACGGACCTTGCGAGTGTTGGAGGAGACTAAGGCGATGCCGCATGTACGGTATGTACTACCTATGTAGCTCCTGTCAAGCAGAATCTTTGGTCATGGCATTTGATTTGACGACTTAGCAGCTTGCTCATGCAACCCTGCTCGACCCTTCAGGCTTCAGTCTGCATTTTGCCTCCTTTACCTCTGGTAAATAGGTAGTACCTACATTTGGTTAGCCAGCTCGCAACGCCAGCGAAAAGTGCGCCGCAGGCATCGCACACTGCTAGCTAACTAGTGATATCCCCAGTTTGCAAACAGCACGAGATACCTAGGTAGCTACTAGCAGAGCAGTCAGGACCCCTGGCCCCGGGCCGGGGAATGCATGCACGGTGTGACTGCAGCAAGGCACCGGCCAGCCAAAGCGCACCCGGTAGAAGAACACGGTCCTGCGAGATATTAGCTGTGAATATCCCCAATGATGTCACAATTGACAAGTCTCATCATTGCGTCTCTCGGATTAAAATCTGGCCTGGACCGGCACGGACAATTCGCTGCTCGCACCAGGACTTTTTTCCGAAAATTGATTTCCATGTTACAAACCCGGGTTAGGCATAGGTAAGTGCATAGTGTGTTCTGAATCCTGATCACCTTCCTATTGCACTGGATTAAAGTGTAAAACAATGTCCTATTGAAGACAATCGCACCTATTTCTGGTGCGATAGGGCCCCCATCACGGTAGTCCAGTGTCGCCAGCTTCCGATCCCGGAGTCCCGCGCCCGCGGTATTTTAGCCTCAGAGGAATGATTGCCCGGTGCGAGTCACCGCCCGCACTTTTCCGCTAAAACTGGGGTGGGGATGCCGGCCCCCCAAGCCCCACCGCTCCTTCCTCTTGCGGTCTTTACACTTGCGGTGGAGTGCTGCACTGGAATGTAACTGAAATCAGAGCACTGTGTGCACTTCCGAGTCCACGGGGCCCCGCGGCAACGGCAGCCGGGCAGCCTTTTATGCATATCAGAATACGCGCGGTCCCGCGCGCGCCTGACCATACTCTCAAATAGCGGCCGCGCTATGGACGGGGGGTTTCATGCCTAAACCTCGCAATTATTATTAGGGGTTTGCATGGGCCCCCACACGCAGCTAGAAACTTCTGCATGAATGATGAATCATTTTGGAGCAGCTTCCAAGTTCCAAGCTCGAAGGAGCTGAGCAATGCATGCCGCGGTGCGTACAATTGCGGCAGACTCTAGCTCTTGTCTCCTAGAGAGAGGGCCCAGGGGGACCACTTTTGGTTCACCCACGACTTGAAGCTTTGCCCCCGAAAGAGAGCCCACTTCATGGCGTCAAAATCCAGCATCAATAATTGGTGGAAAGAGTTGCTAGCACTAGAGAAGGAAAGAGGAGGACCACAAGACCAGGGCTTCTGGGCTTGCATGCTGTAAGAAGCACCTGAAGTGAGCTTTCAAGTCCTTCTTATCAATTATTACTTAGCATTTTGGCATGTGTCTGCGTTGAATATGTTGATGAAAAGTTTGTGCTCATTGTCAGTACCCTGCTTCACAGCTCGCTGAGGATCGTCAAATTGCCCGTTTGCGACAAGTTCTGGGAAGGGGTCCAGAAGAAGTACGAGCATATGTTTCACCTGATCATATGTTGCATAAGTTGTCTAAACTCTTTGGAGCTGTCCCTGTTACAACTCTGACTACTCAAACGAGCAAAGAATGGCAGAGCGCCCAGAAAAGCTGTGTGTTGTTGGTCTTGGGGGCATGCGGCGAAATTGCTTTGTGCTTATCTTGGGATTGTCACATTTTGTTATCCCAGCAAATAGGTGGGGACATACGATGCGCTATGTTGACCAGCTCTCAGACGGTACAAATCTTTCACATGGTCGTCATATTTTTCAACTTCAGATGAACGTTTGTTATGTGTATGTTCCGTGGTCGTAGGCCCTTTGAGAGATTGCTTTTAGAAGTATGATGCTGCCAAGGCAGAGTGACAGAACTTTCTTCCAGCAGCAATCTGCATGCCACTCAGGATCTAAAATTTAGTATCTCAGAAGCACGAGGTGCTTCTGTTGTTAACTGGTCCTTGCTCTCTGAATGGTAGCATAGCTTATATGCAACAGCTGGATGCAACGGCTCTTTCTAGCATTTCTCATACCCGGATCGATTTGTTGAAAATCACCTGTACTAGGTCCAGATATAGGGCATTTTAAGCTAGACTCTGTCGGAGTTACTGCAGTGCACCCTGCAAGTGTAAGGCATAACGGTGGAAGTATCAAAACCAACCGGAAGTTAAGGTAGTTTGGGGCAGCATCCAATGCTTCATGGGTTCTAAACATGTTCTATACCTTGTATTGTTGAAAGCTCTTGGTGTAGCTTTGGGCTGTAATAAGGTTAGCGGCAAGAGTTTGTAGATCTCAAGATGATAGACTTTCTCGTCCATCTCATCGGCTGCAAACAGCTGAAACTCAAGCCACCTGTCGTGTGCTACAGGTGAAAAGCGGGAGCCCCGATCAATGCAACCAAGGCGCACAGTGCCCATAATCACAGTCGGACAGCTGCATAAGTACCCTTGCCATAACCAGTTCTCCCTAGAATCATATTAGAACGGCAATGACCGGAGTGTTCTTCGTCTCCAATAGCAACCCTTTTTAGAGTGCGGTTTCCACGTAGCCAGCCCACATTACGCCCCATCAATTGGAGCACTTTAACACCGTCAGGTCCATAGCTGCTCTGGTGTGAAACAGACCCCTTTTACGCTAGAACCTTGGACAGAAGGCTCCCCTGGGTTGCCCTCAACCGGGGCGCATTCACACCCACGGGCACCGTGGAGAGGTCGGTGCGAATCGGCCCTAGGCCGCACTCCCCCCTGCGGAAGCGAGGTGTGAAAGAGGGGGGTAGCCCCAGCAGGAAATTTGCCACCAAGCGATCCCCCAAGAAAGTGAAGAAGGACAAACCGAAGATGTCAAGTTTCCAGCGGTTGGACCTGGCGCCGCTCTCTCCTGAGAGACCCTTCCAGAGGCCAGGTTGGGATTGTTCTTCGCTGTCTCTTGCTGGCTTTGTGTGTGGCCATAGCTTCAGGAAACCGTTTTTGAGGAAGTCCTGACGTATCCCCTTTTGTATCCCCTTTCCGTTTTCAGTGCTTTGGATGCGATTGTCACCCTCAAATGCTTGTGTCCTTTTTTTGGATGTTCCGCGTCCCCTCAGCCTGGAGCGTATCTCGTAGAGTTGGTCCTGAAGAGCCGTCAGTGGTTGAAAAACGTGTTGGGGGATACACCGCTGGTTGTTTAAACCCAACCTCTCGCGAAGTAAAGTGTTTGGTCCAAACTGAATCTCTCAAGAAGCAGATTGTTCTGTCCATATTTCATGTATTACAAAGATCAATAAAGCGCAACCCACTGTCAGCATAATGCTATCTGGTGTGATCATATTCCCTGATTAAGGTGTTTTAAACTGTTGTTGCTCTGCCAATGTCTTAGGGTCTGTGCCTTGCTTGCCAGTCCGAAAGTCGCGTGTTCCTTGCTTCCTTCTTTGTAAGCTTGAACCACTCGACTTTCTGTTCCTTCAGTCCATAATTATAAACGTGATCTCTTTGTGTTCAAATAATCCTCCATTGTTTGAAATTGATTGCTTCAATTCTGTTCTCTTTACAGTGATGTCGCGCGACGAACCGCAATCGGCGCCGTCTGATCTGGCGATGCTGGACGGTCAGTTGCATCTGGAGGGATGGGGACCGGTCCACGTGGCGCTGACGGATGATGCCATCATCTGGGAGCGGGACAAGCGGGGCAAGAGCAGCAAGAAGGTGCGCGATCGGTGGAGGTTGATTCGTATTATTTCTGGTTTATTGGTTCCGATTAGATAGTCACAGTGAGCAAGCTCTCATTTCGCACAAAAAGGTGCGCGATTAGGGGAGCTCGAATTGCATTTATTCTAGGTTATCGGTTCAGGTTAGATAGTCTCAGCTAGCAAGCTTCCTTCTGAAACAAGAGTGTGAGCGATCCTCGGAGCTTGTAGCGGAATTGGTCAACTGTTTTGAAAGTACTGCAAGGATGCAATCAGGGTCCCTAAGTCCAAGCTTGTGACTTCTCCAACCTGTGATGGCCCAGGCTTCACAAAATACCCTATTAGCTAAACTCAGACTCAGGTAGTACAATCTGTGAGAGCCCATTTCTCTTTCAGGGTTTTGGCTTGTCGTTGTTGGATTGCTTCCGAAAGGTGTATGGTGCACAACCAGCAGTGCCTGCCGCCGGGGAATGTGCATGCCTTCGAGCCGAAGCTTCGATTTTGCCATGTATACCGTAGTCCAACGTGATGCTTCCGAATAAAGAAATAATTACCTGCGTTCGGAAAGTCAGAAATCCGGATTTCCCATTCCGAAAGTGGAATTTCGGAAAGGTAAAATATCCTTGAAATGGTCCTCGGAAGCCGTAAAACTGCCAAAAACAGCCAAAAACTCCCCTTTAAAGTGAGATCATAGGGCATTCGGATTGTTGCTGGAATCAACATAGAGAACTTCCACTTTCCTGGTCGGATTGTCGGGAGATAAGTTGAAATAGATTGGTTCGGAATCATTACGTTGGACTACGGTACATCCTCTTTCTCTCCTGAGGCTCGAAGTCTGGACCAATTTGCATCCCGTCTTTCCTCACGTGTCTTTTCAGCTTCTTTAACGTCTCTTTTTCAGAGCTCCGGCATGTCGTTGAAGTGCTCCCGAAGTCGGAGCCTTCCTGCGGCCAGAAGAGCCTGCCGCTGGCCAACGTGTTTGCCGTTGAGCTGAAAGCTTAAATTTTGCCCTGTATTCTTTTGCCGGTGTTCAGAATGTAAAATGATACTGCATCTTGTATTCAAAACCTCCCTTTCTTCATCTTCCCATAACATTTCATTTGAGGGTTCCGGCGTGTCGTTGACTGCTTTCCAAAGTCAGAACACTGCCGCTCAGCACCGTTTTTGTTGCTGAGCCCGAAAGCTTGACTTTGCCCAACATACACTGCTGCGTTTCTGAAACCTGGACAAATGCTGCGTCTCATCTTTTCACACGGTTTCTTGCGCTATCTAAACGTCTCTTTCTCAGGGCCCCGGCGTGTCGTTGAACTGCTTCCCGAAGTCGGAGCGATCGCGTGGTCAGAAGAGCCTGCCGCTGAACAACGTGTTTGCCGTTGAGATTGCGGGGCCCGGCTCGATCGCCGCGCACTCGCGGCTGACCGGGAAGGTGGACAAGATCTGCGGACTGGCGCCGCAATTGAACAGGTAATGTTTCATTTGTTGAGTTCAACTAAATCTGGGCTTTCAGAATCTGCTGTTTGATTCTTCATAATCTATCTCGAGATCGATTCGGAGTTCAGCGTGACAGGGATCCTTCGACAGCTCTTTGCTGAAGTGCCTCCGGCTTATGGGGCATTTTCCGAGGTCACGCATGTGACAGACAGACTGGCTCATAAGATTCATGGCCATCTTGGTCAGTTACGCTCAGGTTCGATTGGCGCACGTGCGTACACCGGAGCCGATCTTATGGAAGCTTTTCAAGAAATCAATCAGGAATTGTTTTAGTTTGCGTTTCTGTGACAAAGTTGTAGAACTTGCAGCGTCAGCCGACCAACAGCAAAATATCGGCCCGTTTTGTTTGCCGGTCACTGTGTAACCACCTCAAAATTGGAGGATCTTGGCGCTTTCTAAGTAGGTAAGCACTACAAAAAGCAAGAGCAAATCAAAGCACTCACAAGTAAGATCAAAGCATCACTCGCCCCGCACCCATACCCACCCATCTTGAAACCCCTTGGTGACGTCCTTTCAACGTCATTTTTCGTTGGCCTTGCTAGTCACAATTCTGAGAAAAGTCGTTTGACGATTATACTTTTTTCCCGACGCGAATGTTCGTTCCTCGAAATGTTCGTTCCTCGATTTTGTGCGACAGATCGGACGATGGAGGACAGGTCCGTCTGAGAGCCGCGGCAGATGCCGACCCGTTTCCAGGCCAGTCAGTATGTAACCAGATCAGATTGTAAGAGATCTGACTTATAGATGCGGTTCGGTTGTTTTCCTCGCGCAGCTTCATAGTGCACACGAACCGAATATTCAAGGACAGCTCCGTCTGGAAGCGGCCACCTGCGTGGCGCTACCCTTCACGTATTTGAGAGCCACCCTCATGAGAGTTCCTTTCGAAACGAGTTCTAATGCGACTCATGTTTTTTTTTCTGTTGCCGCGCACAGGTTTATTGTGCACACGTTCCGAAAGATGAAGGACAGCTCCGTCTGGGAGCCGCGGCAGCGGGTTTTCGGCCATGCCGAGGTGGAGGTCTGCAACGCGTGGGTGACTAAGATCCAGGCGGCTCTCAGCGCGGACGTCAAACGGCCCAAGTCTTTGCTGGTTAGTGCTAACCACTACTGAATCGTAGTCTGCATTTGTTGACTTAAGGGCAGGGCACGTTGCAAATTTTAGTATTTGACGAGCATTCAACGAAGTTCTGGAAGTGACCAGAACCCAAGCGGCTCTCAGGGCGGACGTCAAACGGCCCAAGTCTTTGCTGGGAAGCGTCGATAGATTTGCATCTCCACATCCAATGTATTGCACGGACTGATTCTGGAGGACTGTGACAATCTTGATAGGGGTGACTGCGGATCGGAAACGGGCTAACTCTTTGCTTAGCAACTCAAACTATTTCTGACGGATCTGGGGGTTTTCTAAAATCTCGCAGTTTTACCTTCTTTTAACTGTGCTGAGTGACCCTAGTCGCAGTTCCAAGCGTGGTTCGCGATTGTACCTGATCAACAAATGGGGTCACTTTATCTGATTATGGTAAATCAACCTTTTCAGGTTCTGGTCAACCTGCACAGTGGCATCTGCCAGACTGTTGAAAGCTAAGAGCGCATGCCCCCGCTTTAAGCTTTTGCTGAGGTGTTTGCGAAGTTTTGACTGCTTATTCCTCGTTTGATGTTTTATATCATAATATTTACTCTCTGTCTCCCAGGTTTTGGTCAACCCCTACGATTGGGAGCCTCAGACGTGGAGACGCATTGCCTCGGTCTTCACTCTTGCGAGCACCCAATGTCATCACAATCGGTTTAGTGTCTGCCACTTTGATTGTGTAACTTCAGATGCCCACATTCTAACCCAAATACGTTATCTTTTCCAGGTTTTGGTCAACCCCTTTGGCGGCAAGCGCCAGGCCGTTCAAACCTGGGAGCGCATTGCCCCGTTGTTTGCTCTCGCGGGCGCGAAATGCGAAGTCGTCAAGACCAAGTCCGTCGGGCACGCGTTCAATTTGATGGACCAAGCGTCAGATGGCGAGCTCCAATCATGGGACGGAATCGTTGTGGTTGGGGGAGACGGTTTGTTTAACGAGGTTCTTAACGGGTTGCTCATCGGGCGGCACTGCGCGCCCCCGCCCGTCGTGCCGCAACGGAGCGTTTCGGCGGAGGAAGGGGGGGAGGCCAAGAGTGCAGCAGAGCAGGTAAGCTGCCCCCCAGTAAAATTCGAATCTGAGTTTCGGCTTCTGAACGAGTATTCCTGCAACCATTTGTCTTCTTCAGTTCGTGCCTTGACAGGTTGTGTTGGTGTGGGAGTAGGGGCAAAGCAGGAAAGTGTTGCGCTCCTACTTTCCTGCTGGTCTCATCTGACAGGGTCCCTTGCCATCGTTGTGTACGAGAATAAAAGTCCACAGATCGCCAGCTGAAGGTACGACGGTGTTCCAAGGCGATTCAGCCAATTCTGACGCGAATCTCTCTTCTCCGGAGAACCCTAGAAACATAACAGGTCGAAAGCCGAAAACACGTGAATTGTGAAGTTGCAGGGCACGAAGGAGAGCGGCTTCCAGCAGCTCCGCCGCACCACCTCCGGCATATTCCCGGAGTCATCCACTGAAGGCTACTTTCTTACTTCTGAAGCGTTCTTCTCTTCCTATGGAAAAAACACTGAAAACTTGCCAGGGCTTTAAGCCCTAAAATTGCAGGGCACCAAGAAGAGCGGCTACCAGCAGCTCCGCCCCACCACCTCCGGCATTCCCCCGGTAGTATTCACCGAGACACAGTTCTTGATCTTTTGAGACATCTTGAAAAGCACGAAAGTCTTGAGATCTTGAGACTCTCGACCGCAGGGGACCAAGAAGAGCGGCTACCAGCAGGTCCGCCTCTCCACATCCTACATATCCCCCCTAGTATCGACTGATGCACAGTTTCGTCCAATACTACACAATTTTCTTCTAAGAAACTGCAAAAACCTCAAATATCAAAAGTTTGAAATTGCAGGGATTCAAATGTTTGAAATTGCAAGGAACCAAGAAAAGCGGCTACCAGCAGCTCCGCCCCACAACTTTCAGCAATTTCTCGGTAGTAGCCACCAAGGCACAGTTTCTCCCATTTTCAAGGCAATAATCGTATTTCCAACGCAATATTTGGCTTTTGAGATTGCAAAACTTCTGAATTCTACAGATCTGTAAATGCAGGGCACCAAAAAGAGCGGCTACCAGCAGCTCCGTCCCACCACCCCCGGCCTTCCCCCGGTAGTATCCATCGAGACACAATCCTTGGTCTTTCGGGAAATCTCGAAAGTACAAAACTCTTGCAAAATGCTGAAACTTTGAACGCGCAGGGTACCAAGAAGAGTGGCTACCAGCAGCTCCGCCCCACCACCTCCGGCGTTCCTCCGGTAGTATCCACCGAGGCAACCCCCGACCCCGTTCCCGGCCCAAACCGCCCTGAAGTGCACCGCTCCTCGAGTCACGTCCGGCATGGGCACCGTCGTGCCAACTCGTCGGGGGTTGTTATCCCGACCAGTTTCGACGCCGAGGATCCGCTTCTTGCGCCCGGGATGCTGAGCCTGGCGTCTGTGACTGTGGATAAGAATCGGTGAGTAGTGGGCTTCAATGTCCAGATGCTTGTACGCTCAGCTTGATTGATTCCAGGCGTAGCAATCAGCTCTAGACTCTCCAGTCCGAAGATACGAGTACGGTATTGGGATACGAGATTCTGCAGGAAGGGAAGAAGCTTCGTTTACTACTACCTCGAAAGTGTTGCTTATTCCAGTTGTCTTTGGAGTCGTCCAAAGAGTAAAACTCATGATCCATAGCTGTTGCGACTCACGAGCTGTCCGTCTTTTGACTATCAGGGCCGTCGTCTCGGTCACCGCAACCATTGGCATCCGCAACCCCGACGCCCAGTCTGCCGGCGGCGAGGCCTTCTCCGACGCATCTCCCGCCACCGCTTCCGCTACCGCAACCGTAACCGCTGAAGTTCTCGACTACGAAATGCAAGCTTCCACTCCGGACGGTAAAGCTGGTGATGGCGGCAAGGATAAGGCCAGGGTTAGCATTGACGGCCCGGTTACGTCTAACCTCCTCGGAACCCTCCCCCCCGACCACCCCGCCGCGGCCGCGGCCATTGCGGCGGCGGCGCGAGCGGCCGAGGCCGCCGCGATCGCCGCGGCCCGTTCGCGTGCTTCGTCGCCGTTCTCGCCAGCGGTTACGTCGTATGGTGTTAACCCGGAACCGCTAACCCTCCCGGCGGCGCTAACCCCGGTCCAAACCCAAACGGAAACCCTGGAGGCGCCAAAGGAGCCGGTTCCGCCGCCGAGCCTCAACACACCGGTTGGGATTGAGCCGTTGCAAATACCGAGTCCCACTAACCCGATGGTTACTGCAGCCGTCGGGCCCTTCAACCCGAGCAAGTTACCGACGATCCATTCCGGGTTTGTGACGGAGGACGCTTTGCAGAGTGCGGCGAGATTGGGACTGAACGAAGCGACCACGATTTTGACGCCGAGAGGGGGGTCGGCTGTGCTGGAAAGATTTGAGGAAGGAACGGCAGAAGCGGTGGAGCGGCAAGAGGCGTCGATCATCGAGGGAATTCTGCCGCCAGGAGCGCTTCAGAAGTGGCCGTTGGTGGGGAAGAAGATCAGGATCGGGTTGATTCCGGCAGGTAAGGGAGTGCCTATCCTGGTACTTTTTGGCTATTGTGTTTCCCTTTGTTGTTGCGGTAATCTGCTCAACCTTGATGTCGTCGGTTCGCATTCCTTGGGACACGTCAGAAGGAGTGTGATTTGAGTCTTTTTCAAGAAGTGGTTCTTCGCAAATCTCCTCGACCTTCATCTTACGAAGAGTATTCCTTCGTGTCTACGAAGTCGGCGAATCTTAGGTCAGATTGTGAGTTCCACCTCAACCGGTTGCGATTGCTTAACCGTTTGCCGACAAGCGCAATCTGTCCATATCTTACGAGAACGGATCCTTGTCATGCCGTCTTGGCCCCAGGTCCCGCTTACCACTACGCCAGAACAGACTGTCAATATTTAGGTGACCACATTCTTTGTTCGGAGAAGGGGCATCTACTTGCTGCAAAACTACTGCTTCAGAAGGCCAACCGTTCTCAACGCGCATTGCAACTTCTTAAGTACCCTCGAGGCGTCACGGTGTCGTTTCGAGTCACTTCACGGTGTCGTTTCCAGTCTACTCCATTTGCGCTCTCTCTGATCATCTGACTCCGTGCGTAGTCTGCTGAGACAACTTGTCGGGAGCTCACCCTTACTTCATGACCCGCTATACTGACGACTTCGACGGCCTCTCCGCAGGCTCAACTGACACAGTCGCAGTCTCCACCAACGGCGCGCGCGATCCCATCACTGCCGCTCTGCACATCCTTCTCGGCGACCGCTTACCGCTGGACGTGGTGCGCGTGACGGCCTGGGACTATCAGCACGAGGTTTGTACTCATGTTTTTAGAGGGATGTTGCTTTTACAACTCTGAGAGACAGATTCTACGATTAGCTGTTTCGCGTTTCTACGAGTGTTATGCTTTGTTTGGAGTGCTGAAAGTGGTTGGCTAGGAACTATCGTATGAGAAATCGCTCGTCTGTTTTGCGAATATCGTGGCGGGATGTTGTAAGCACGAGTTTTCGTTGCGGGGATCATTGTTTTCTAGGATGTAGGACGAGCCATAGGTCTCGCTGGTTAATGAGCGCCATGTGAGTGACTTGGGAGTTGATGAAGCGACGGCCCGGGACTATGAGCACCAGTGTGTGCTCTTTCCTCTACGCGAGATCCTGACCGTTGACTTTACTCTTTTGGCCCAGGGAGGTAGTCCCGACCCTGGTCATGCCGGAATGGCAAACTTTGAATCTGTTCAATCGCGTTTGCACGAACGTGACGGCCACCTCCGATTGGGCTGCTTAACCCTCACCCGTTAAACCTCTCTGAAAGTTGAAACCCTGAAAATCTTTTCTTCGACCAGGGAGGGCGTCCCGGCCCTGACCATGTTGAGATGGCCAACTACGGGCGGCCCCCAGTGAAAAGTACTCAGAACTTTCAGGCATGGGTTTGTTTCCCTCTATGAATTGTGAACTCCGTAATTCAGCCGGATGAGCGGAAAGGGATGCCGTTTTCGTCCACTTTCCCGACAGTTGGATCGACCACATGAGCATTCGTCTGCTGATTCCACAAATACGTTTATCTTTCTTCGACCAGGGAGGGCGCCCCGACTCCGACCATGTCGAGATGGCGAACTACGGGCGGGCCCCCAGTTTCGTTTGCTCCGGCCTATGGCAACCGGGTAAAGAGATGAACATGTGATTAATGACTGCACAAACGCGATTTTTGTAAAGCCGGGCTACGGGTGAATATTACACAATGAACGGTCTTTTGATTGTCAACCAGGGAGGGCGTCCCGACCCCGACCATGTCGAGATGGCCAACTACGGGCGGGCTCCCAGTGAACAGCACCGGGGGAGGGGCTCGGGGCATCTGCACACGGAGCACGAGGACCCGCGGCGGCCACACGTGCGCTACGCAGCGTCGTTTGCGGGGTGAGGCATTTTATGCGTCCTGATGTTCCCGTCACATTTTCGGCTTTAGTAAATTTTTAATAATCTTATCTACGCGGCAGTCGTAAATTTCGTAGCTGTTTTGCGGTCTCTGTCAATGAGCGGTGTGTTTGACGAGAAGGAAGGCCGGCGGGCCGAACGGGCGCTACGCAGCGTCGTTTACGGGGTGGGCACTTTTCTCAGCACTTCCGTCTCGGGCTTGGCTATTCGTTTTGCATGTACGCGGCTGGCAGTTCTGAATACAAAAGTTGGAGCTGTCTCCCGCTCGCTGTTGAAGGCCTTCTTCAGGCCCCCTGGTCCTTTTCTCTGTGTCAAAATCCTCGAAAACCAACCACGTACCTTCGCTTGTAGCACGTCGAGGTTTTTGCTTAATGCAAAATCGATGGGGATGTTATCCTCCCATCTTCATACACGCAAGCCCTTGTGTGAAGCGATGGTTCTGGAGAAACAGGTTCCGGCAGCTTCGATTTGTTTTGCTCGGTTAAAAAGGGGAATCTAACGGAATGCTGAGCAGATGCAGATGCGATACTTGAAAAGATTGGGAGTTTCCCTATCTCGCCAGGCGCTCAAGTTTTCTGCTCACACCTGATCGGCCCCGTTCCGTTTGCCAAATTTCTACAATCGACATTCATTCTGATTAGAGGTTTGACCTAGTCTTAGGTAGTCAAAATTTGCGTTCTGTACTGAGTTCCACCTCTTAACCGAGACTTACTTTCGCTGCCTTCTCTAGGTACGGCTTCTATGGTGACGTCATGCGGGAGAGTGAGCTGTATCGGTGGATGGGCCCCGCGCGCTACGACTACGCAGGCCTGCGCACATTCCTCCGGCACAGGTGAGACTGCGTTTGTGTGGCTGCAAGCATTTCTGCCTTGTGCAGCAGATTCGCGGCTCTGGTCCCTGTGGTTTCCTGCGGAACGTCGGCCGGTAGGGGTGCGCCCACCTTCCTTTTCGCGGAAACAGAAAAGGAAAAGAAGGAAACGAAACAGATAAATAGAACAATCCTTGCAACTAAAACAAAGACAAAAAACAGACTTGCGGCAGAACGGAAATGAACACGGTCAAGGCTGACGTTTTGATCTGAGATATTAAGGAGCGAAGAGCACGTGCTCGGGCTTTTGCTTGGATTGGAGAACTCGCTTTGGCAGATTCTAGAGACGTAGCAGTTAGTGACGGACACCGGACATCCTTGCGCCATCTGCATCCTCCGTACTCAGAAGTCTATGGAGGACGTTTGACGTGGAGACACCCTGATGAAAACAGACATAGTGCTGAACCTTCTCGTGATCTTTCTCCAAAAAGCTGATGTCCTGCTTTTTTTAACAAGGAAATCTAGGCGCAGTGTTAGCTTCCCGCAAAACCCAAAGTATGCTGAACTGATGTTAGACGTGCTGTTTTCGTATCTAAAGCGGGCGAAATCGTTTGTGTCAGCAGTACAAATTTACCCGGGTACCTTTTTTCTCTCCAATAGAGCTCAGCCATCTCGTTGTACCCAAGACGTCTGACGAGAACCTCCGCCGTGATTGCAGACAAACATCGCTGAACCCTTTCCGATTTTTCTTCTGAGCATTATCAAGTTTTCTTAAACAGGCTGTTTTCTCTTTTCCCAGGACGTACGAGGCGGAGATCACGTATCTAGAGCGGGGGAAAACGTTCGATCCGTCCGGAACCACCAGCAAGCCGGGGCACCGCAGAAGCAACAGCCGCGTGGTGTGCCGGGTTGCCTGCCACGTGTGCTCCAAAGCGGGGGACGAGGAACGAGAAGCGGAAGCGGTTGGCACGACGGATTTGGTGGGCGAGTATAAGCCCAAGGCGCTATGGCGGACCCTGCGGGTGAGCGGTCCGCTTATATTAGGAATTTTCTTCTTTTGTGTAGCTCCTTCATTGGAGCGAGAGCGAAAGCGAAGCGGAGTATGTAAGGCGCTAAGGCGGACCCTGCTGGTGAGCGGTCGCTTATATCAACCTTTTAATTGGTTTGTGGGTGCCGGTTTACTTAGTGTAGGACCGTCAACGGAGCGACAGCAAAAGTGAAGCGGAGTACAAAAGCCCAAGGCGCTATTGCGGACCCCTGTTGCCCGCTCACATTCACTCCCCTTTGCGTTTGTGCCGAGCTTTTAGGGGCAATTCACATTTTCTCAAAAGCGGACAAAAGAAAACTTGGGTGCGATGGGAATAGCCGACACGGCCAAGGCGCTATCGCCGACGTTGCAAACAGGTACTTCTGTGCTTGTACAGATTCAAACACTTATATCTTCCTGGAATCTATGACACCCGTTGAGTTGAAGGGGTCCAAACCGCCCAGAAAGTACTCCGAACCGGGAACTGTTCGGATTTCTTGTGGTGCAGCAGCATAGCTCGTGCGAAAATTCTCATGTCTCACAACTGTATCTCTTTAGTCCTCTCTGTGAAACCAGTCTGCGACCGCGTTAATCATACAATTATACGTTTGACAAAACTGGTGGGTGTTCCCGGCAGGGCTCAATCTCGTATAATTGTTGACTCGTGTTCCGTCTTAACCCTTCTCAAACCCCTCGGTAATCCTTCCTCTGCTTTTTATCCAGCTATTAACCCTGTTTTTTACTCACGCTTTCAGCGTGAGTACAACAGCTGGCCGGCAAGTCGCGGTGAATCCTTGGAAGTTTTTGTTGACCCTTGATTGCCTAAACCCGTCCCTGAAAACCTTCATTGCACCTGAACTCCTCTCCTCAACCAGCTTCTAACCCTGATTATAACTCTCCACAGGGCGAGTACCACAGCGTGGCTGGGGCCGTGATGGCGTGCCGCAACGACAAGGCGCCAGATGGCATCTCGACATTCGCCCATTTGTCGGACGGGCGCATGGACCTGATTCTCATCAAGGACTGCTCGCGCCTCGAGTACTTGCGTCAGTTGATCCGGCTCGCGCGCAAGGGAGCTGATCCGTTTGACCTGCCCTTTGTTGAGACGCACAAGGTGAATTTTGAGCTTTCAAGGGTTTCAGCAAATGCTGAGAACAAGGAGAAAAATCGATTGCAGGCTCCAGAAGTGTAAAGTATTCAGGAGCCAGAATCTGTTTGGAACCGAATACTGCTGTTGCTCCTCATCCGTGAACAAGCGGAGCCTTTTCATCTGTCCTTCGGGGGAGCACAAAGGGAAGGCTTGGAGCATACACGGTAGCTTTTGTTGTAGAGCTTTTGAAGGGCGGTTGCTTGACTTTGGCTTTAGCTGATGCCCTCTATTGCTGTTGGAGCGACCTTCCGTTTAGATGGTTGTTGAAGGCTTCCCGATAGTGCTGGTTTCCCTGTCCATGCTTCGCTGAAAGGTTCCAACTTGAATGGAACACCAGATTCTGGAGGTTTCTGGTCCCCAAGATGCGTTGAGGCTAATTGGGACGACAGAGTGGTCTGTCCATTGCCGAAGGACAGCCAGAGGTCTGACCCGATCGATCTGTGCACCAAACCGAAATTAATGCTGCGCCCAAGTTTCCAAAGCCCACACGTGAAAGGTTGGACAAACTCCCATAATTGGTGTATCCCAGTTCGAGGAGTTCGGTCGATCGAGTGCTGTGCTTCGTTACCTTGCAGACATTCCAAATCCACTTCCAGTCCAACTCGAATTGATTTTCAGTCGGGCTCTCGAAGAAAAGTTCGATCTCGTGCTTGCGCCGCGCCCAAGTTTTACGAGTCCAAGTCGTGTGTTGGTCTGATATAACTACCATAAGTCAGAAAACCGTACCGTAGTCCAACGTAATGATTCCGTATGGATCGACTATAATTCCCCTTCGTCAAAGTCAAAATTCGGATTTCCCATTCGGAAAGTAAAATCTCGGAAAGGTAAGATAACCTTCAAATAGTCCTCGGAAGCCGTAAAGCTGCCAAAAACAGCCCGAAACTCCCCTTCCAAAGGGCATTTGGATACGGGTCGGAATCAGCATAAGTTATCCCACTTTCCTGGTTGTTGGAAATAATTCGAAATAAATCGTTTGGAATCATCACGTTGGACTACCGCACCCCCATTTTGATCTCTTCAGGTTTCGACTCACGCATCTGCTTCCGTTCTTTTGCAGACCTCCCAGTTCCATTTCCGGTCGCTCGGCCAGCAGAGCACATGGAACGTGGACGGGGAGCTCCTGAAAGCGCGCGAGTTGTCCGCGCAAGTGTTCCGAGGCCTTGTCGACATCTTTGCGCGCGGGCCCGAAGCCTGAAAGCCCAGCATACGTCCGTTTCCGTAGTCATTAATGGGGCCTTGCATCAAGCGGGCGCTGAGTAGATGAGTGGGTGGGGCGCGCTCCATGTATCTTATGAGCTATTGATGACGTCAAATTTTCTTTGAGCGATCAGGGCGCATGCGGTTGTTAGTAACACGCGTGTCTTTGTTCGTGGTTTGCTTATATAAGCGAAGCTGTGCTGACATACATGTAAAGAAGTCAAGGTGTTGCAGACTAGAATGGAAGCATTGCATAAACATATACGTGTTCGAGATCATTGTAGGACGATTGTTCCTGGACTGAAGAGTTTGCACTTGATCCTTCGCCCAACACCAAGTGTTCGTCTGTAGTGCACCTCAAATTAGTACTGTAAATGTGTTAAGAATGCTCGTGTGTTTCATGTTCAACAATGGTTGTGCAATTCATTTGCAAGGAGGCACTATCATTACTTTTGAACTTGATGCTTGGGTTACATGCATTCCATTCTGAGGATCGCACTCCAACACATGGTCTCTTCTCAAATACGCCGTAGCCAGTTCGGCCATAGGCTTCTCATGGCACCCAAATGTTGCCAAGATTGCCAGCCAACATTATCTGCATACACCAACTTCTTCTTCAGGGCAATGCTGTTCTCTTTTACACGCCGTAGCCACTCATGGGCCATACTAATGATAGGCTTCTCATGAAGCATAATATCCCCAAGACATTGACATCATCATTGGCATATGATCTCCCGTGGCCCGAGTCTGGACTCTGCTTTCAACGTACCGAGGCCCGACTCCCGCCGACCATGCCGCGCTAAACCGGCATACCGTCCAGGATTTGAACCCAGACTTAGGGTAGCCTGGCCTGGTAGCCTGTAGGTTGAATTTGCGGGACTCAGAAAGAGTGAACCGTCACCCGGGCCCCGGGGCTGGGCCGGCGGCCGGCCCGGGTAGCGGGCGCAAGTCAACGTACGTCAGGCAACGTCACAGGGGGATCACTGTGACAGGTGGGGGATTCACATTGGTTCAATACATATCCTGACTCCTGATTCCTCATGCATGTGCCAGTCACCGTGCGGCGTGAGCTTGGCGGCATATAATACTTGGTGCACGGTTTGACCAGAATTTGGAACCGAGGTAAAGCACGCAGCATGTGAGTCGTGACGGTTGCAACTTGCCACTGCATGATGGTTCTAATCCTCAGTCTGCCCTGCTTTTGCAAGCTTCCTGTCTTTCAAAGTAGAATTCTGTGACCGCTGTCCGTGCCAGCTACAGTGCGCTCTGCACTGTTTCATGAGGAGGCGTAGTCCCTGTCAGTGTTTGAACGCCCATCCCCACTTCTTCGATAAGAACGTTCAAAATTTCTCCCAACTGCAAGACAGCTCCTGCTCACGGTAGTTTTGTACCGTAGCTGTCTGAATACTTGCTAGTTTCTCAAACACTAACACTGTTGTTTCTACAAGACTTAAGTCCAAGCGGTCACCTTACAGGAGAACTTTTGGTGTGGAAACGCAGCAACAATGGCGCCAATCCAGCGCCTCATCTTCGCAACGCTCGGTCTGCTGTGCGTCTGTGCGCTTCCCGTGCTGAGTCAGCCGGGCTTTAATCCCTACCCCGACTATTCCTGTCCCGCTGGTTACATTCCAATTGCCAGGTTCTCCCCACCAGAGAACGCCCCTGTTCCCTCAGTTTGCGACGAGGATAAGTGTTACAATGAAGCGGTGGGATGTGGGCCTGGTGAGTCTTGCTCCTAACCAAGGTTGGCTAACCATACTACGTAGTCTGTTGGAAGAGCATGTAAGTTATGCCTTAACAATGCTTTGGTTAGGTGTCATCTTCATCCTGAGTGTCTTCGTGCTGCATTGTAACCGCTCACAGTTGTCCTGGAGCGGTTTCCTGGCTATGTTTGGGTTGGGAGACAAAGAGCCTTGCCTCTTGAGCGCTTACATGGGGCGGAACCTTTTCCTTGGTCAAGCTCGTTGTAGATGCTTGCGCCACCTTGCATAAAAATGTTGGCTGAAATGTGACATTGGCTCCAATCTCCTGATCAAACAGTAGTGGAAGCAGGGTTCCATAGTGTGAGAAAGGAGCTGGAGGGGAAGAGTGGGGAGATCTTTGCTGAGCACACTTGCAGGATGGAAAGCGGAAAAAAGTTATAATAAATGAAAGGGCCAAAGGTTACACTTACGCCATTTGAGATGCTCATCAAGGAGATTCATCTGGAAAAAGCGTATCAGTATTTATACCCTGAAAGTATTATTTGAAGCCAAACAAGGGCAAAACAGATTTTATCAGGTTTTTGTCAAAGAGCCTTTGGCATCACATTCTACTCATATGACTTCTGTTCTGGCTGGGGGCTTTCACAGTTTTTATTCAAATGGCTCTCTCACATCTGCAGAATGTCCTGATCATCGGATGCCAATGCTTCCGGCATTATAAGGGTTTGTGAAGTCATCGCCGGAAGGTTCAGCTCTGTTAAGACAAAAGAACAACTTTTTATCTCACCCTTGTTCTTATGGTTTCTCGGGTGTGCACCAAGAGACGCTGACACCAAGATTCTAAGCATGGATGCACCCATTGAGTACCGTCGACATTTCGGACTACGTTTCCTCATTTTCTTAGTTCCCTCCATCATTCTCAAGCTTCTTTTTTTCGTTCCTGTACAGGCAATGTGTGCACTCAGCGCCCCGTTGGTTCTGTCGGTGGTTACTTCTACGAACACGACTGCCAATGCAAACCCCCGTATGTGAAGGGAAATGTTGTGGGTTACAAAGGCCTCGGCACCCGGACCACTTGTTACATCCCAGGTAATGAGTCCTTCCCAAACAAAACCCTGCATTGCCGAATCAACCAAGCACTTGTAAAGTCCTGAAGATGCGTGAATCACGAAGTGTTGGCCAGTCCCTTCTGAAAGATTGTCTTTGTAATGCCAGGTGATCGCAGCCACCTAAGCACCCGGGGTCAAATTTTCTGTAATCCTTGTGAGAAATTCCGGAATTCCATTCTGAAAAGGAGCTTCAAAATACCGAGCTCACTTGTGGCACCTCCTTGTCCGTATGACCTCCAAAATCTTGAATGTTCACTCGTTTCTCTCTTCTTTGATTGCCCAACCTACATAACCCAATATGGGCTAACAGGCAGTGCCCCTTGCAATGTCCCCACTTTGGTTTTGAAAAGCACCTCACTTATGCAAGCATAGAGGAGGAGCACCCCGGATTCTTCATACTTCAGACTTAGACAGTAGGAACAAGCTGACAGTTTCCTGGATCCAGTTGGCACGTAAGAACATGCGTGCACTCCGTCCCTCAAATGGCCCCCTTCACGCTGCTTTGCTGCCCGCTCATTGCTAAGATCCTGAAGCTACAACGCCCTGGAACTCGAAACCCTGTACAAGCTTCCTTTTTTCACCTGCCCGCGTCGTGGTTGAAGTGCCTCCACCCCTCTTCAAAACGGGACAGGGGCCACCTCCAGCAGCTTTTCCACCGGCACTTTGCCAAAGCTCTGAATGCCCTAAGAATCCAAACCTTCTTCGAATTCACCAGAACTCGAGATGTGCAGACTGCCGACAAGTTTTCTTTCTCCGTCGCTTCCCGTTCGCTCCACCCCTTCCAAGGATGAGACATGTGCCACCTTCAGCAGCTTGCTCCTCGTACTTCAGTTGCTAAGATTCAAGACCCTAAAACTCAAACCATCAAACCCACAAGAATCCTAAAAGCCCAACATCTTAGACTGCTGACAAGCTTCCTCTTTTCATTTGCCTCGGTCAGATTTCGTGCGCATCCAATCCTTGCCAGAAACGAAACACGTCCCATTTTCAGCAAGTTTGCACCCCGCACATTGCTGCGATCCTAAAGCCCAAAATGCCCTGAAATTCAAAGCCCCCTCTAAATCTATAAACCCAAAGTTCCTAAAAGCTCGAACTTGCAAAACTCTGATAAGCTTCCCTTCTTCACTCGCCCAGGTCAGGATCCGTGCGCTTCGAACCCGTGCCAGAACGGAGGCACGTGTCAGCAGATCCGGACGACCCTTAATATCCCGCCAAACTTTCCGGAAGACCCGAACGGTCCGATCATTGACTTCTTCTGCCAGTGCCCCCCGTTCTTCACCGGGAAAACGTGCTTGCTTCCCGAACCGTGAGTCTCTTCTCTTTCCGCCTTTCATTCCGGCTTCTCGTGAGATGTGGCTTTCCGAGATTGCGAGTTCTTTGACTTTGTCTGTGCGCCCATGGAAGACCTGACGATGAAAGTGTTGGGTGCCTCGTAAGATTCGTGGAGCTTCTTTTTGGAGTTGTGCAGTGGGGTTCAATCAAAGCCGAAGCAGTTCTGTAGCGGACTGCAACAGAAGGGTTCTTTCCTGTGATCCGCTCTCTTCTTTCTTCTCCTTTAGATCCAGCATTGCACTGTCTTGCAAGTCCACAGGAAGTGGGGAACAACCATCCGCGGTCTGTAATTTGATTGATCAGTTCATGGTTGTTATTCAAGGTTCAAAGCGGTGCATAGTGGTCACACAATTTTGCAACATAGAATTCCCCGTATAAAGCACCACTTAAGAGTTGAACTTGGAAGCATTTGGCGGCAACCGAGACACTCAACTGCGGGTTTCAGAACTAACGAGAAGCTACCATAGATGACCTGGCTCAAGAAATCCAGAATTTTGAACGCAGAAGGAGTGTACCTGCCTGTACTAGGGCCGGTTGCGCGACTGGAAAGCCAAGAATTTCTCTCAAGAAACTGACTTTTCACATCGTCCTTTTTGCAGGAGCGGCAGCTTCCCGACTCCGGTGCTTAAGAATGGACCTCCGCCCAGCACCCCCCCTTCGGGCCCTCAAGGTGAGCCTTATATTCCATTTGTTCTTTTTCATTTCTACATGATGAGCTTGCCGCAAAGGGTCCGTTTTCTGCGGAGTGAAGACATGTTGACTGCGATCAGTTTCTTTCTCCTAGTGGCAATCTAAGGAGTTGGATTGAAATCTGCCCACACTCACTGACATGGAGTACCGCTTCGAACAGAAAGTATTGGGATTTTGTGAAATCACTGTCCGAAGATAAGTAGGGCCGCTGGTTTGTTGGAGTGACCCTTACAAAACGTGGCCTAGGAAAAAAGTGCTAGTCGAGCTAAGACCCTGTGGGAATCGGAATTCTCTTAACAAGACTGCAACCGCTCTTCGGGCTTTCACTTCCGGTGAGATCGGTTTTATGTGAAACTTCTCCCCCGTATCAGTCTCTTGTTTTTAAAGAAGCGTACGCAAAACGCTCAGCCTAATCCGAAGATCTTAAAGACGGATAGACCCGTCACCAAAAATCACAGCCGGGAGTCTCGGCAGAAACCAAGTATCCCCCAGAGCACAAAACGTTTTGCTGACGTCAAGACGGAACGATGATCAGAATCTTCACCGCTATGTTCGCACTTCTGGAAACTTCTGTGGTCCTGAGCGACATTCCTAGACTTTACTACATTACGATGGGCTGGTCTCATTTTTGCTCGTTTTTCTTACCTTTCCGTTTTGTAACATAAAAATACTTCTGCAAACGGTTGAGATCAGGATGTCCTTTCACACGCTCTCAACGTCTTTCGCATTTGTTAGGTTCCGAGGCGGCGGAAACGTTTCACCCGCTGCTGACCGCAGAATGCGATGGCATATTTACACTTCTGAGTCCTTTCCTTTCTCTTTACCCCAACGAGAGACTTTTCGAAAGCAACAAAAGGTTGGGGCTTCGGGATCCGCATGCCTGTTTCAAATCCTTTGCAGAATGTTCGCGATTTCAAATCGGCAATCTGCTTAATTAGAGCGGCGCAACAACGGCCCTATATATGGGCCACTTCCAGTTTCCTTCCGCTTCTTTTCTTTCTATCTCCTACCAGCAAACGACCCTGTGCAGCCCGGGCCAACCCACATTGTAGGTAACCTGTTCCGACGTTTTCCTCAGGTGTTTGCAGTTCCGTAGCGGCCGCATTCTCCTATCGCTGCTGGTTCAACAACGACCTCCAGGGGCGCCACTATTCTTACTCCTGTTCTCAGTTTACATTTACAAGAAAGCCCGTCAAATCAGGTCCAACCTTGTGGGTTTTTAAATCACTTGACACTTCTTTGCCCAGGTGTTTGTGGGTCCGGAGACGCTTCCATTTTCCCCACCCGCTGTTGGTTCAAAATGACCTCCAGAAGCGCCTCGAAATCCCACCTCTCCCTTGTTCAGTCTGTTTTGTATCGAATTCCTTTTTCTTTGAGAAACAAAGCAAGCTTGACAACCTCTTTCTACATGTTTCCGGTGTTTGTGGGGTCGGAGATGCCTCCAGTTTCCCCACCCGCTGTTGGTTCAACAACGACCCCCAGGGGCGCTACGTCTGCTGCGACGGCCAGGGATGCGACGGCTTCAACCCCGATAATCTGACCCCCCACTGCAAAAACTTCGGCTTTGTGCCGCCCAACTTCGGCGCGGGGGGTTCGACTACGCCCCCGTCGAAACCCCCCACCGTTCCCCCCAGCGGTCCGCAAGGTGAGACCCGCCTCGGAAAAGGACACCGGAATTTTAACCCGATTTTTTTACGGTGGGTTTTTCATCGTAATCTTGATTCTTTGGTAGGAGGCCAAAGTTGACACTCATCTGGTACCTTCGCAAACAAGGCGTAAGGAGCATCGCTCCTGGAAAGAACTTGAGTCTGAAATTTGTCGTTTTCGTTGACCAGTGAAAAGAGTCCTCTGAGCTTTTGAAGCCGTGTCTTCGGCATGATTCTCAAGTACTCTTCAGATGGGCCATGCTTTACGACCGTTGGTTTGTCCGTTGTTCTTGATTTTGCCAACTCTTGCAGAGGAGGTTTCTCAAGAGTCCTATCTTAGGAGACTTCTTCTGCAAGGGCCATCGGCAGGGCCATCAGCATAGGATTTGACGTGTCAAACGCGAATACCCTGTGTGTACGGAGTTTGGTTGAATATTTCGTTGCGCCCAATTGACTTGCACAATTACTGTATTTCGACGCACCAGCTTACTCCGGCCCAGCAAGCTCTAGTGTCTGCGGCTCTTACATTTTCCGCCCGTTGGAACTCCGACGACGATTCGCCAAAAAACAGAAACTTCGGGTCGAGCGGAGTCGCTTGCCAGCATGCTTTAAAGAGGAGCCCACTTCACATCCAGATACATAGTGTCAGCTCGAGATGAAACCCCGGGCAATCAACAAACTATCGACAGAGGCGCTACGTTTCTCCCTTCTTCTTGTCATGTTACTGTTCTCTATCGACAAGGATCTTCTTCCGAGCCGACCGGGGATGCGGGGCGCGTCTTTGTGATAAGACCATCCATCGGGCAAAGCACTCGCCCAAGATCATGATTTTCGCTCCCGCCAAGCATCTTGGCGGGACATCTCCTAACTACCTCTTTCTACATGTTTTCCAGGTGTTTGTGGGTCCGGAGACGCTTCCAGCTTCCCTACCCGCTGTTGGTTCAACAACGACCCCCAGGGGCGCTACGTCTGCTGCGACGGCCACGGATGCGACGGCTTCAACAGCGACAATCTGACCCCCCACTGCAAAAACTTCGGCTTCGTGCCGCCCAACTTCGGCGCGGGGGGGTCGACTACGCCCCCGTCTGGTCCCCCCCCAAGTGGTTCGCAAGGTACAGCACAGAGCATCCTTCTCATGGGACACTTTACTGAGTTGTCCTCGAACTATAAGCGTTAACTGGCTTCATTTCCTCAATGGATCAGTTTGCAGCTTTTGTCGATCGCGATGGTCAGCTGGTCCCCCGCAAGTGGCGCTCTCGCTTTCAACATGACAGATTCGACGGCTGAGGTTGCGCCTCCCACAGAATCAACGGTCACCGGTTGCGCTCGTGCAGGCACAATAAGCGCAATGCCATTTTGAAGCTTCTAAGAGATTTCGACGGTGTCGAAGCAGAACAATTGGGCCGGGATTGTAATGCCGGGTTGCGGTGTCCGCTTTTAAGACCGTAGAAAGGTCGAGATTGGTGACTGGTCTTGAACAGGACTCCCTCCCTTTCGTACTAAGGCTCTTTTGTTTCTTTTCTTTGAATTCGTGAGAGCGATTGGTGCTGTTGTTGATTGACACGTGTCGACTTTACAGGCGCCTGCGGGGCCGGAGGCGCGGCGGATTTCCCAGTACGCTGCTGGTACAACAACGACCCGCAGGGCCGTTACGTCTGTTGCGACGGAGCCGGTTGCGACGGCTTCAACCCACCAGATAACTTTTTCCCTCGCTGCAAGAACAATGGTTTTGTCCCGCCGCAGCTCTAGATAAGGAGAGTAGCACCGGTAACCAAGCGTGGTTAGTCCCGGGTTAGAAGCGCTTGTAGCGTTCAGTAACGATTTTTGTCCGAGTAACGTGCTCCCGACCCCAAGCATGGTTAGAGCGGACTGAACAACTGAACCGGCCCTGCTTATCCCGCGGGTACGACAATTTTGATAGTCTCATATGCTAAAGTCTAGGGTGGTCCCCTTGGATGAGCCCCGATCCAAGTGCTCGCTGAAGTTATGACAATTTCTTAAATTTCATTGCTTACAGGGCCATAAGCGCTAGCAGGACGCTTAGAGAGGTTGAGACGTTCTAGAGAGTCTAGGTGCACGTTGAAGCGAAATCACTTACTCATAATCTGACCTTTAATTTGTCGACGTTCAGTTTCATTCATCCTGGTCGTTAAGTTACACCATTCCAGGACGTCAGGTACTTACCGCAGCAACTAGGGCTGTACGATGCATAGCACTGCAATTAAGCGAATGATCCGGTAAGAGATACGTCGGTCCGGGAAGGGGCCTCCGGTAGCTAGCTGGGGCCCAGATCAATTTCATGACAACGTCCCATCGAGAGACTACTACTTGTGTATGCATTGTTGCCGCGCATTCATTGGCAAGTCTGTCCAATTGCGCTCTACTCGTCATGCATGACTAGCTTCTCGAAGCAAAGATATTGAGAGGATTGATTGATCATTATTGAGGTTCCATGCATGCATGTTCTAGCATGCAACTAGGTCTGCTCCGACATGCTGTACACTGGTGTAACGGTGGATAAATTTAGACCTCCTGAGCTTAAAACCTCATAGGCAAGCTAGGGGTTTGGGTCCGGACAAGTCATGTCCCCTATAGTTAGGGCATGGGCACTTTACGGTCGGGCCGGGCGCAACTCCTGAAGAATGAACCCTTGTTTTGAAGACGAGGGGCGGTAACTAAACTCAAGTTATTCCTCTTCGGATTGCCGAAAAGCCACACATAACACTTTTTGACCTGCATACTGTATGACACGACAAGCAAAAGGGCGACCGACGCGCGCTGTTCCATATGCCGCCAGCCTGAAGTTCAGCTCACTGGCAGCTCGCCGGCGCGGACTGACTCAGATATGTGCACGTCAATAAGATATGTACCGGCTTCGACGTGACGATTTACAACAGTGTGCATGCGCAGTCAGTTTGTGGCGGGCGCCCTAATCTGACGGGATTCGTGGCGAACTTAGTTTGAATTGAATCATGAGCAAGAAACTAAACAGAGAAATGGCACACAGGCACACAGTTGATTAATTGCGTACTGCCGCTCTTGCCGAGCCTCGGAGTCCGGCCATACTGCATGTGCCGCCCAGCAATAAGTAACCAATTTACGATACTCCAATAAAGACAGGCCCGCCGCGCACTTGGTTAGCTAGCTAGATCGACTTCAAGCATATAATCCTGGCATGGCCGGTTGCCAGAGCTAGTCACGTACCGACGGACGGTGCTGTCATGATCGAAGGTATGAATAACCGAAGACGTTTACTTGAATCTGACGTAGCGTGAGTCGACTTGTGGGCTCTCGACTTTCAATATGTCTGCGCATAAGTCCGAAAATTTCATCAATCGAACTTGAAGAACTTTATGCGCGACGGCACGAAATGGTCGTGCTGACCTTTACCACTCCTATCTATAGACTTCAAAACAGAGAAGCCGTAACCAACTTGGAAGTCACAACTTCGAGATCGCACAGAGGGCGAACCACCTTTTCGATTGCAGGCCAAAGGGTCCTATCCTGTTCCTTTCGCGAGCTGTAACGCGCACTTTGGGCCGCTTATGCACCCGCCTACAAGTCTATGTTCGAGACAATCTAAGATTGATCAAGAGCTCCCTGCTGATTCTCCGACTTATGGACCTAGTCCGTGGCGGCGCCGTGTTAGAGGATACAGAATACACAAACTGAGCTATCCAAGCGTTCATATTGACGGCCGCGCGGTACTAGGAAATACGACTGCCCTCCGCGTTCATGTCTGTCCGCGCATATGCTGAAGGGCTGTCGAGACCTGAGACGTGCCAGCCTGCACCTGTCTCGAAGTTTGCCCCGGTCGGTCTAAACCAAGGCCATGTGGATCCGTCTCCCCCCCTAACCGAGGCGCAGAAAAGGGGTGGGGATGCGGCTGGCTGGCCACATTCTGCGCGCCTTGCGAAGAGGCTTCCCCCATCGCCTGAGCATACTGCCAACTCTGGGAGCCCGGCGACTGTCCAGTCAGTTGACTAGCCCCAGCGGGCGCCGAAAAGGGGTTTGAGGGGTGAGCCAGGGGCGACCTCACGTGCAAAGAAGCCGGGTCGGAGGTCGCCGGGACACTCGCCCGTGGGGCTTCTCCGTACAAAGGGGGGGGACCTGGAGCGGAAAAGGACTGGCCCCCGGGGATCGACGGAGAATACGACGGCGCAGGCACGTGCCGAAGTAACGCCGGGGCGGGGGGTGGTCGCGCTGCGTAGGGGGGATTCTTCCACCGAGGCAGTGGACCCAAGGATCCGAGCATGAGAATGTTTAGGAGGGGGGCGGCGCGCTCGATCGTCCGTAGGAGTTCCCCCTGTCGGGGGAGCGTCATACCGGGCGGTTCGGGGGGGAACTGTCGAGGCGGAGCCGCTTGCGAGACGCTCGGTTGAGCGGGGGTGTGAAACGGGGGCGCCGTCCGGAACGGCGCCCGCGGGATCGGTTCCGACGGCTGTGACGCGGCGGCGGAGGGTTGGAAGGACGGACCGGGGGATTGGCGCGGGTTTGGAACCGACGGCGTGGCGGTAGAAACGCTTTCGGTGGCAACAGGGGGGAGCGAGAACGCCGTGGTTGGGAGGTTGGGCATGGGGGACGGTATTCGGTGCATTGGGGGCGGGAGCGTCGATCTCATTTGAGGGGGATCCCCCGAGGGGTCCTCCGACCGGGACGGTATCGTCGGGTGGGCGGTTTGGCTGCCCGAGGGGTACGTACCGACGGGGACCGCCCGTTGTTGTCGTATCTGCTCCAGTTGTTGCCGGACGTCGGCCAGCTGCTGCGCGATCTGGACCGTCGGATTGGGGCTCGGGAGGGGCGTCTCGAAGAGGAGCGTCGTCGAGGGCGAGGGCGGCTCGGCGTGCGCGCGTGCCCGCGCGCGCTCGCTTTCCCCGAGCGCCTTGATGCGCTCGTGTGCAGCGTCGCGCTCGGCGCGCGCAACGCGCAGCTGCTCCTCGAGCGTGTGCGCGCGCGCATCGTGGAGCTGCGACTGAGCGGCCGCGGCAGCGCGGGTGGCCTCGAGCTCGCGCATGGCGAGGTCGAGGAGGCGGCGTGCCTCCTCCAGTTGCTGCAGATATGGACCAGGAAATCAATTAAGAGTCATTGCAGAAAGAGAAACAAAACTTCAGAATATGTCACTTGGGAGACCGAGGAGAGGAGTAAGAGTGACAGAAACCTTCACTCTTTGGTACATGCCCCAGGTTTCAATTCTCTGGAACCACAGCCACTTGTGGGATTGTTTGCAGCCTGGGTCTTGGTGCCGGAATAAGTTGAAGGAAATTTGAACTGATGCAAGAGGTGCTTTCTTCAGTTGCTGCAAGGGAGGAGGATGGCGATTCTGAGCCGAATCCGTTCTCTGTGTCAACTTCGTGCTTGTTTGCAGTAGAGGACGAAGAAAGCGGACGTTTAGAGTCCCTCTAATCAAAGCGAGCAGGATAAAATAGAAAGTAAAGTAAAGTAGAGAAAGGGAAGGTGCCTTTGTCTTCTGGATTTCAGGACGCAATCGAGCAGACTAGAAAGAGAAGGCTTCTAAGGACGTTCTTGGTCTCGTTCTCTTTTTCCCTTGTTTCGGATAGAGAAATATGGCACTGGTTATGAAAAGGACAGCTGCTAGACCCATCACAGGATAAGGGCGAAACTATATGACGAGAATGCGATTCCCTCGGTCGCCCGTAATCAGCTCGAAGAAATCTCAAAAGAAGAAGCTCTTTGCCTGCCTCAAAAGACCAAAAGGTCCATATAGAAAACTCTTGCGGAGATGATCGAGAATCCAAGGGTCTGGGTGCAGCTTCAAAGCGACCAGTCACTAAAGATGGACAAGACGACATCTAAGCCAAACTCTCGCCTGAACCACAGCCCTGGAGACCTTCTTTGTCTATTAGAAGGACAGGCCTGGACGAAACCCTTTCAAACAGACCTTTCAGCTCTTCTCCGAATTTGCATTTAGCCATTGACAACGAGACCCTAGGGAAAGCCTCATGCAAAGTCTCAGTCTTTCGAACAGCAGTCATTTCGATGCTCAGATTAACAATGGCAGCTTCCCTCAGCCCCTTGACAAAGCTACCTGTACCTCCAAGCCAGAACATGAATCTTTCCCCTCACCTCCTTGTGTTCGCAGCACGGTTCTTCCCCCTTCTCCTCTACAATCCGGTGTAAGGGTCGCGATTCAGCGGCTGGCCTCCCTCCCCCCGGCGCTGTTGACTGTTCGGCTCGGTGTGCTGTATCAGATCCCGCCTCTCTTTTGCCCAGAACGGAGTGCAGATTGTGGGGGGTTCCCGTTGGATCGTCGGCTTCCATGTGACCTTCCTGCCGGCTTTGCCGCGGTGGTCCTCAGGCTGAGCGGCACACTAGAGAGCCTGGGGCAGAGAAAGAATATGTCACTATTGTTATCATCAGCATCGTTAACTCAAAGATAGGTTCAGCACGCATTCAGGTTCCGAGTCCTTTGGGGCCAGCGGGCATTCGATGTCAGGATAGGCATATTCCCAAGAAAGTTCGAAATTGAAGACTGAAAGAAGTCAAGATTGTCTGGACAACTCTCCATTCTCGAACGAGGTTTGTAACAGGAAGTGCAGGAGCCCCCTCAAGGAGAAAACTGTAGCTCGATGAAGAGATTGATGTGGTACATCTGAACCATACTGGAAGAAAGAAAAGCCCGATGCAGCTGATGCATTGGAAAACGTGATAGAATGGATTGTGAAACAGCATAGAAGTTGACCCCTTCCGACCCGGAATTTCGTAAGTGAAATGTGAAAAGAGCTAAGAGAGGTGTTGAGGTCTGTCATTGTCATAATGAAGGGACCTTGAAGTTGAATTGCGAAGGAAACGAAGGAAGCTGTTGCCTTCTGCAACTTCTCATATGAAAGGGCAGAAAGAAAGGAGCAAGAGGTAGCTGAAGAGTCAGGACAGAGCGAACGTCTTGGAAGCAAGACTTGAGATAACCACACACTCTAAGAAAGTGGATTGACGTATCACAGCACAGTTTAGTGTACGTCCCTCCCCGCATGTGCTTTGGCCTAGCTAAGAGGGCTTTGCCTCTTGCTGAAAACAAAGTGTCAAGGCTCTTCCAGAAGCAAAGACGGGGCTGAGGGAGCGCTGAGTCAGAATGTTCCAATTGTACGTGAAAGTTTTTGACACAACAACATGCTGAAAACTGAGGTCTTCAATTGGAAGCTTAGAACCATCCCAAGACCGTTGATCTGCGAAGCCAATAGTTTTGTTCCTGTAACAGGCCTGTTACACGTCGCGAAGCATTTGCTCTGTGGAGTCCAAAAATGAACATAACAAGTTAAAGCAAGTTGATACCAGACTAATCAAGGGGAGTTTTTGGCTGTGATTTATCTGTTCACGAACTTCTCGTTCACACATGTGACAGAAGCTTATGGTTGAGAGGAAAGGGTGAAAGCATTGCAATCATCCTCAGTCTGTCGTTCTGAGTTGACCAGAAACCGCTCTTTTGTTGTGAAACCTCCAATTGTTTAGACTTACGCTAAAAGTCGACTACCTGGTGCTAATCACCTTTCGGGAGCATCTTCCGATTGAACGTAAGAGTTTGCAGCAAGAAAAAGAGACATCTTCTCATTCAGCCCGGACTACTTCCCAGTCATCCCAGTTGCAATACATGGTAAACAGCAGTGTACTTTTCCACTTTCAAAGTTGTTTTTGTAATGCTGAAGCGGCTCGCTGCCGCTTGCACTTTGAGATGTCCACCACCCCAGTCAACTTATAGAGATGGTTTTTTTAGCTTAACGACATGATGCTGATAGCAGCAAAGGGGTCACACCGGTGACTTATCACAGCAGACTTCCTTTTACCCTCAGCTGAGTTTGAGCAATGGCGTAGCACCATACTCACTTCATATCGGCACCATGCACAGAAAGTATGAAACCTCCTGTGCATGGGTACATCCAACCTCACGAAGCACACATAGGTGACCAAACCTTGCCGATACAGAATTCAGTGACATTAAGAGTTGTACTAGTATGTGCTATAATCAAAACGCGCCTGTCTAAGCACAGGCTTCCTCTGCAGAAACTAGGAGCAAGCAGAGAACTTGAGAGTCCTGCTCACCTTTGAACTGTGCACTTGCTCATTTAGGCAGCACAACCTCCAACCAAAACCCCCCCCCAAAACCCCCACCACTTCTCGACCACAAGATGATCGTCGAAAGCGTCCTACTGAATCTCAGACGGCATTACTCCCTTATTGCCGCCCTCTTATCCACCATCCCCTCTGCTGGCGGTCCCCCTATAGATACTTGCTCTATATTTCTCGAATTTTCTACGCTTCTATGTAGCTTGAATTTCCTCAAAGCTTCGCATTGTGCCGGTCAGGATCAGCTTCGCCAACAGTTTCCCAGCCCCCATGACTATGTGACCGGGTGTTTGGAACCGCAGCTAAGACTGGCTGCCAGCTTCTCTCCCCACTTGAAGCAGCTTGCTCCACTCTGCTCAGAAAGCACCTCGCAGCCAAACGAGCAAAAGCCTCCCCCTCGCTGGCATCAAGCTCCTTCCCAGGTCCTGAACCCTGCCTAGCTGAAACTTTGCTAAAAATGGTTGTCCAGCTGCTCACACTGCTTGGGACACTTGTCTATTTTTACTACCTTCGAATTTTCATTTCATCAGAACGGCAGTTCTGGCAGCTGCCTTCCAAATATTGGAAAGCAGCGAACTTGAACTCTGGTTCACGTCGACACCTGCCCTGGCAAGTACTATTTTCAGTACAGAAGCTCTCTCACAGCTGCTTGCTCTCTTGCTTCTGACAGGCTCCCTGTCGTCTGACAGACTGAGAAGATACCACCACTCAGTCGCAAATGGGCCTCGTTTATTCAATTCTGGACTCAATATCGCCCTTGCATGCGATTGTTCCACCATCGCAGCTGACATGCCTTCCTCCCAGAAGCCTAGTCTCTCAGAAAACATGATGACTCTCCTGAAGAAGAGAATGCGCCTCCAGAAGACTGCGGCACCGAGCAAATGCTAAGCAACACTGTAGCTTGTGACTCGCCCCTCGCTCCCCCCAATTCTGCGGGTCTTTCTCCGATTTCGGCGGTCGGCTAAATCGGGGGTTTATAACCATATGACCTTGACGATCTCTCGTTCGCCGGAATAAAATGCAGGTGACTGGGAGAACTTTCGGTCGTATAATATGATAGCTTAACTTTGTTGTCCCGGGCAAATGGACCGCCCGGGGGAGCCCTTCGTCGATAACCGAGATGCCTGGATCACCGCAGACCAGTTTTGGGCAAGAACGTGAGTCAACGGTGCAACGGTCTTCCTGGACACCTGTCGAGGCGTCAAAGCGCCCAGACCGCCGGGAAAGCCGCTTGGCATTAACTCCGTCACTTCTGACGCAACGTACTTTGGCAGGGACTTCATCCAGACTACCATTTCCAGGTTCATATTGGACCGTTACCGCTAGTACTCAGAAGTACTCACGCTCTCAAAGCTGTAGTGACCGGTACGGGGTTGAATGCGACAACAGCGGGTTTGGAGCGGGTTTGGGTACTCGTTACACGACTTCAACCCGCAATCGTGGATTCCGGCTCTGACATCATGGCTTGCAATCCCGGTTATTGCTACATGGTTCAAAAGACCGCGTTCCTTGTGCTGCTCAGTTGGCACCGATACTAGGAAGCTTGTGTACGGTACAAGTACTACAGCACCAATTACCTACCTAGGTCCTACGGTAATCTAGATACTGTCCCATTCACCGTCTGTCTAAGTTCGCAGATTGCGCCCCGAGGGCCCGATGGCTCGGGGGGCGCAGACTGCTTGCACCTGTGCGAATACTTCGCTCCGACTGGCATAAATGTGCCCGGCGCCCGTCACTCGAATGCAATCATAAAACATCAGGGCCTCGTGAATATGATGTGTGCCCTCAGAATGGGGCACATTAGGAGAACGGCTCTACTCACAGGGCCTCATCAGCGTTGTTCATCTGCAATCCGATCTTGCGGATGAAGAACCGGTGAAACAAACCAGCTGCATTGCTGCACTATGCAATGTCTAACACAGCTTCTCGGTGGTGAACGGTGAACCGTCACCGTGACAAGAGAATTTGCGGAGATTTGTGGACACCGTACCTAGGAGTGATGAGTTAAAACCTGCCCCGTTCAGCAACTGGGCATGCTAAATTCTTCGACGTATTGCAGATTGCAGATGAGAAATAATCCCCTTGAAAGTGTCAGTTTGGGCGCCCGGCAAACTTTGACCGACACCGTTCTTCACCGCCTTTCCCACGATATCCGTTGATTGATCGTGATGTTGACAATCGGACGGATGCAATCGCGGAAATGGTTCTCGGTAGTGCTTTCGGTTGGGACTCGCCTTACACTAAATCGAGTTTGTGCGAAGCCCATAAACTAAACTCGTATGCACTACGGTATGATCAACCGTCTCTGTACCATATGTTGGCATACATTGGTACCTAAAACGCGCTAGCGGCCCTGCCACCTGGGCACCTGTACCTACCTAGGTACCGTATATCGATCATGCACTTCAGACCGTAGGTGCCAGTGGCAAACCCAGTTTTCGGCAGAGAATTGGTTGGAATGGGGTCTCGAGGGCGCGCGACGGGATCGCTTCTCGCCAAGCACCCACATGCAGCCGTACGCGTGCTCCGATCGACGATTTAGACCGGGGCACGTGACCCGAGCCAATCAGAGCAGCGCACCCCTTTGACATCCATTGACCAAATCCAGTCAGGCCGACGGTTAACTTCAGACTTCTCTACTAGCTAGCTAGCCCCTATACAATCAAGAAGCAAACTGCACCTCTTGAATTGCCAGGACATCTAAACATAATACCGTACCTTAGAGTGGTACGGTAACTGCATATTGGAGCCGGCCACCGGCTGTTCTGTATCAATATGCAGGCCTCTCGGGGCTGTCTTTTATCACTCCCGGGCACGACCGGAGTATGCTGGCCGACCTCTTATGCATAACAAGCCCCCCTGGGCACAAAATGGCCAGTTATGTTGCCATAACCTAAATACATCCTGCCTCTCGTATACCTTGCCTCAGTCCAAATCCGACGGTCAGTGCTGATTCATTTCTTCAAAGATGATCAAGCCCTTATGATCATAGATTCCAGGTCAGATATCAACTTTCCAATCTGAATATATAGAAGGAATTTAATGATACTTCCGAAGCAGTACTCTCTGCCCGGGCGTGGTTGTCCTAGGACTAAGTTATAGAGTGGCCTCGATGGACGGTCAAGATAAGCTGCAATCGTGGACAGCAATGCTAACACGTGTCCAAATGAGATTGGCTGACTCAACATAAGCAGACTTTAGGCGCTTGCTTCTCACGCGTGTAGGTGTTACTTCAAGCTTATTGCTCACCTCAGCAGCTGCCAGCAGGGCTCGTACGGGCGCTTATTTTGGTGCTTCTATTGCTGGAAAGTAGGAATTGTGAATTTCGCAACTCAGCCTCATTCATTGAAAGTTCGCACTGGCAGGCATGGCGTGATTGGCGCCCGTCACCTCGAGTTTCAGCTCCAAGCTGCGTGTTGTATCTAAAGCATTTGAAAGATGGAAAGCGAGGAGGACGACATGCCGGAAGCAATTCCCTTGCAGCTGGGATTTCTTGAGGGAATTCAACCTGATTCCGCATTGGAACCGGCAGGATCGCTTGCGAGTCCGTCAACATCATCTGTTCAGCAAGACAAGCCGCCGACAGATTTTTCGAATGAGCCGACGACTGCAGGCGCGGCCGGAACAGGGATTGACAAGACGAAAGCCGTACCTGTTACCATCATAACTGGTCACCTGGGGTCCGGCAAGACCACGGTAAGCGGTGGTTGTGTTGCGGCTTCAAAAGAGAGTCACCTTATGCGGTTTCTTTCTCTTGCTGGCTCCTTTGCGGAAGGTGTTTGCCTGTGTGGATACTCGCAATCTAAGCATCGGCCATTTTTTCAAGCCCGTTTGAGTATATCATTGTTCTGAACTGATCACAAGACGCTGCAATAATCAAGTCCAGTCCTTAGGTAGCAATGGTGTGCTGAGACAACGATCTGAAAGCTCTCGCTGCGTTGCTCAGCGCCAAAGTTGCTATTTTCAGATGTCTGCTGTGTTGGAAATCGTGTTTCCACTTTTGGAAAGTGGCGTGCTCTTTTCGTCTGGGAGTGGTGCAATCAAATTTGCATCTTGGATGCTCACTGTAAAGAAGCTCGCATCAGAGATATGGTCTAAAATATCGAGATAGATAATAAAAGCGCAGGGTTGTTACATAGTCTCTCCCAGCTGTCCTTATCAGGGCCCATCATTGTAAAAGCCTGGTGCGGGAGATGGATCAGGATGAGAATTCCCCAAGCCCCGATCAACTTTTGTCAGGCCATAGTCAAGTCATATTTACTGAATCAGCTTGCTTTCCACCTTCTAACCAATCGGTGCACCTTTTGCACGAACTAAAGTGCAAGCGCCTGTGCAAAACGACGGGTTTGGAAGTACAAGAAAATTTTTGTGAACAGCTTAAGCAGGGCCGGCGAACAGTTGAGTGCTGCGGTGTCGGAAGACAGATCTGTGGGAAAATTCCCGGCAGTTGCTTGGATAGGCAATTGAGTACATGCCCCTTCAAAGAAAGGCGAGTAGTGGATAGGGATTGGTTTCGCATATTATTTGCTTTCTTCTTTGCGAACCTCGTCCTAACCATAAAGCACGGCGTGCGGAGTGCGCTTGGTCGTACGAGCTATGGAAGGTTACGGGAAGTTTGATCCCTTCTAATCCCACTCTAGGCAACCCTCTCTTGCAGCTTGTGAACCACATTCTGACCACGAACCACGGTCTCCGGATCGCGGTCATCCTGAACGAGTTTGGCGAAGGTCTGGGGATCGAGAAGCCGGTTATTACTAACCCGGAGAACCTGGTTAGCCAGGAGGAGCTGGTGGAGGACTGGATTGAGCTGGGGAACGGCTGCATCTGCTGCAACGTGAAGGGGGACCTACTGCAAGCGATCGAGGGGCTGCTGGAGAAGAAGAGGGGCCGGTAAGCTTCCAGATGCTTTCCAACTGCGTGTTGCAGGACGGGAGGCGTTTGATGCGCCTGCTTGAGTAAACGCTCCTTTCGGAAGGGGTTGAATCATTTCGTTGCAACAGCAAGGTAGACCTTTGGCAAGCGATCAAAGGGCTGCTGGAGAAAAACAGGGGCCGGTTAGCCTTTGAATATTTTCCTAACAGCTTGAGAAACCGGATTTGAACCGTGAATTTGGGGGTCCCGTGAATATTCCGCTTTGGTGGGGATTCATTCAAGTGGTTTCGGTGCTCAAAGGGGTTTCGGTGCAAAGATGCCTTCGGGATTGATCGTGCTATCAATATCTTGCAATCTGCATTCCTCTTGTATCAGTTGGAACGGACGGAAGACGAACGGAGATACCAGGCTCAGTTCCACACCACCCCTTGAGCTACGCTAGTCCTTTCGAGTCAGGCCTTGCTGAAACCTCAATTCCCAATCCCTAAGGTCAAAGCCAAGGACCAACCTAAAATCCATGAATTCTATCTTTCTTTTAACCGATATTCACTTTTATACAAGGACTCTTTGCAACTTTACTGACTGAGGACCCTCGAGTCTGTTACAGCAATAATCTATGTAATGTTGAGACCTGCATCGAACCCTTGCAGACTTGACCACATTTTGCTTGAGACGACGGGCCTCGCCGACCCCGGCCCCGTCGCTGCCGCGCTCTGGGTCGACGAGGAACTCGAGTCGCCGATCCGTCTCGACTCGGTGGTGACCGTTGTTGACGCCATAAATCTGGGCAGGCAGCTGCGTGGGCTGGGCCAGCGCGGCGGTGTCAATGAGGCCGTGCTGCAGATTGCGCACGCGGACGTCGTGATCTTGAACAAGGTAGATCTAGTGGAAGGTGGGACCGAGGGTGAGTCAACACGCAAGGAGGGGGCTGTTTCTTTCGGTCAGGCTGCGGAGGCTTCTGGGAAGCGCAACGTAGAAGGAAACCCTGTGGACGAGAGGAAGAGAGGTTCGGAGGCGCGCACTGAAGGCGAGATTGGGCAGGGTAGTGACCTCGGCGAGAATGGAAGGGGTTCTGCGGAGGGGGAAGAGGCAGATGTCGTGGGCGAGAATGGGGACGCATTGTTGGGGCGGAGGTCAGCAGATGTTCCGGAGGGGTCCGGGGAGGAAGGAGAAATGGACGGGAGTTTCAACGAGGCGAGTGTATCACCGAACGGGGGCCTTGAGAGAGAACGAGAGCATCCCGCTGTCGAACCGGGTGGCCCGGGGTTGCCAGATGAAACGGTTGGCCTGAGTGATTCAGGAGGTGCTGCCGCAAGAGGAAGACTTCCAGACGATCTGACGGGTCATCGGGAAGGGTTAGGAGGGGTTAAGACTGGTTTAGCTTCGGAAAGGACCCGATTAGATACCGCCGGAATAGCATCGTCGCTGAGTTGGGAGGGGAAGGAGCGGGCCTTGACACTACTAGAAAGTCAGGTCCTGCAGATCAACTCTGTGGCGCGGGTCATGCGGGCCGTTCGGTGTCAAGTTGACGTCGCCAAAGTATTTCGAACAAGCTCTTTTGATCCGAAGGTGAGGCTTGAGATCAGTTTCTATTCGGGTTTTGACATACTCGTTATTGTTTTCTTGCGTATCGTCAGTTTGGAGATTGTATTCGTATCACTCAGTCCCCAGTTGGACAATCGAAAGGAAGATTTCTGGCGGACACAAGGGCCTCTTGGGAAGAGTGAAACACTATCCGATGACTTTCAGCGAGTCTCACTCTTCCCAAGGACTTGGTAGCAGGACTCAGACCCGAGAGTCGTTCCCGAGTTCAAAACCTAAAACTTCGGCAGATCTGGAACACGCACTCAAAAGTGTTCAAAATTTTCATCGCTGACACACTCGCAAAACAATGACGGAGTCGCAAGCATAATTTCGACAGGTCACACTCATAAGTTGACTCTCCCCATTGCAGCGCCCAGAACATGGAATCCTCAGCGAAGCGAACGGTGTCCCGTCCAGTGCGGCCGGGATAGTCACCATGAGGAGCCCCGACCGGTGCCGGCAATGACGTACACAGAACGGGATCGTCTTAGTTTCTACACAAATGGGTTCGACTTACTCCCTTCCGGTCTCTTCAGATTGCAGCTTCTGGAAGATTCCGGCGATTCCGGGCCGCGAAACGGCTCCCCGAGCCAGTCCCAAAGGCATGAGAGAACGGTGGGACATCACACTTCGGAGCCCCGACCGTTGACATTAACAGAGCAGTCACGGGGCGCTCCAAGTTTCAAGATCCAATTTGGACACTCCCTTTCTCAACTTACTCCTTTCACTCTCCACTGTTGCAGCGACTAGAAGCGGGGATTCCTGACGACAACGGGGACGGAAACGGGAACGGAAGCGGGTCCCCCGGGCACTCCCATAGGCACGACAGTGCGGTCGGGACGGTCACTCTGAGGAGCCCCGACCGCTTCGACCTCGCCCGGTTGGAGCGCTGGCTGGGCGAGCTGCTGTGGGAGCGGTCTGGCACTTTGGACGTGTACCGAATGAAGGGCGTTCTGAACATTGTGGGACGGGAAGAGAAGCAACTTTTGCAGGTGAAAACTCTTTGGTTCTGGATTCGAGTCCCGAATTTCATTTACTTTCAATAGTGAAACTTCGCGTTTCTTGTTTGTTGGTACTGTTTTGCTGTGGAGCGGTCGGACGCTTTGGACGTGTATCTTGTGAAGTGCGTGATTAACGTTGCGGGGCGCAAAGAGAAACACTTTTTCAAGGTGAAAACAATGTGGCTCAAAATCTCAGTCCCGTTTTGAAAGTCTGGTATTTGCACTCTTGCCTTTCATTGTTTGTCGTATGATTGATGTGGCGCAATTGGAAGCTTTGGACGTGTACCGGATGAAGGGCGTCCGTCCTCAACGTTGCGGGACGGGACGAGAAATATTTTCTGCGGGTAAGCTGGTTCCGCCTTGCCGAGAACGAGGTTCGAAGGTTCTACTTTACAGGCTCTTACTGTTTCAAGGTAACATTGACCGAGGCTTGCGAAAATGTTGGAGGGCGATTGGACGTGTACCGGATGAAGGGCGTGCTCAAATTGCGGGGCGGGAAGAGAATCACTTTCTGCCGGTAAGAAGACTTGGGTGCCCCAGGTTTCTGATCATCTTTTGCAATTTGCGCCTCGCGTTTGTCGTTCTGTCTTGGCGGATCTGTTTTCCCTTCGGACGGATACCAAATGGAGGGCGTCCTCAACGTTGCGGGGCGGGAAGAGAAGCAAGTTTTGCTGGTGAAACGAGTCGGGCTCTCTCTTATGTGGCGTTACCTGTCCTTGGTCGTGCACATATTCTCGACGTCTTTGTTACAGCGAAGTGGTCTTCTCGTTGAACTAGCTACAGCGAAGTCGTCTTCTCAGTAGACTGGCTCCGAGGCTTTGAAAGACACCGAGATGACTGCGAGTGTATGGCCCTGATTTTTGGGACAGCTTAGCGTAACCCGCTTCATTAAGCCGGTCCTTGCTTTGAAACCTTTGTGACCCCCCCCCGCCCCATATTACTGCATCGGTGACCTTCCTTGCGCTCCTGCTTCCTGCCCACATGTCGTAAACAAGCCAAAGCCTTGGAAGAACTCTTCGCGAGTTTGACAAAAGGACAGATGGGTGGATCGAAAAGGCGCTCCCGTACTGAAAGAAGCTGGCGTCATGCAAGGCGAAGAGTGCAGAAGGCGAGTGCGAGCTTTTTTGAAGGGGATCGTCGTACGAGGCGTATACCGACTACTGTAGTATGTGAATCTGTGATTCCTTCGCTTGCAGGCTGTCCACGATCTGTACGAGATTCGACCAGGGCAACGATGGGGGAACGAAGAGGAACGCATCACCAGAATCGTACTGATAGGTATGAATCGAACTCAAGACTCGTCTGTGCGATTGCCGTCTCGCAGAATAGCGGATGTTGATCCACCTCCGTGGGCTGCTTTCGGTTGTTCCAGGGTACTCTGTTGGCATCCCTTTTTTCTTGCACCCACCTTTCGTGTTCATGGTGGTGCATGCTGAGCCCACCAAGGACCCATTTTGTGCTCATGTGAGCGGGTTGAGACCGTGCGGAGCGAACATGCTATCTACTTTGCGGCTCTTACGTTGTGAGCGCTGGCGACAAGACCTCAAGTTTTCCCTCTGTTGCAGGGAAAGGACTCGACCTGGAGGCTCTCCAAGCTTCTCTGCAGAAGTGTCGTTGCTAAGGACTTTCAACGACTTGATGGGGAGCAGAGTTGATGTCGCAACACTCAGCCTTTCGCATGGTTGTGTTTGAGTTTCCATCAGCAGCTGATTCAAGTGAAGCTATTATGTTTTGGAGTTGTCTGCAGATGGCCTTCAGTGAGCCCCCACTGCTTCATCCTTGGTAGCCGCTCAGCGATGGTTAGGATGCAACTCAGAGTCGATTACTGAGGTGAATGAGTGGCCACCATGCAATAATTGTGCAGTCGACCGTCTCCGCTCAAAATGTTCCACCCACTAAGTCAGGTCAGAGGCTATCTCGAGGATCACACAATAGAACATGCTGGCATGGGAAACTGAAGAGACAATTGTGCGGGCACAAATATTCGTTCAATCAAGGGTGCGCACAGGGCCGCCTGCTTGAGAAGTAAGGTCGATTGCCTTCGCCCGGCACATGCACTGCGCATGTGTCACCCAGTTGATTCCTTGGCGGCCGCACCAGCGCGCAAGTGAGTACAGAGCTCCGTATTCATTTGATTGAATGCGCCATAGGGCCTAACCTTGAACGAATAGTACGGTACATTCTAGCGAGCGGGCCCGCGGCCGCCGTTTATGCCAGCCAACGGTCCATGCCCAATATTGCTACAATCCTTATTCACAAGTATCTCGTCGGAATCCCGGCATGCAGCTCAATCACGGCGGGTGCTCCACGTAGCTAGCTCTGCTTCTTCATGTACCTCAGTGCACCTATATACTACAGTTGCGCATATGGCATGCCGTGACTGGTAAGTAGATACATCATGCAACGATCAGCTAGTGGCCGCCATCGCATTTACCTGTCTGAGATCATGCAACGATCATCACTATGATATATCGCGTAGAATGCAGGGCGGAGCACAATCAACGATCCCGGCCCGCAGCCTGGCAAGACTAGAGCTGGGACAAATGGAAACATCGCTGACGGTTCAAGTCACTAGATAGCTGAAGAACCATGGGTTCAGTGAAGCTGCAGTGCGACGGTCATGCAGACAATATGTTGCATCAGCTTCTATAAGACAGCGATCCGTCGGGACAACATTGGACAGATCAGTTGATGAAGCGGGAATGCATTTTAGAGCCTGAACCAGCGCGGCAGGGCCAGATTAAAGACACGCCGTGATGTGTGTCAGATGTATGATGACGTCAAGCTGCAACACTGTTCCGAACGTTGGCTGCAGTAAGAAGATTGGATCTAATAATGATATGCAAGCAGGTTCTGTGCATGTATGTGTACTTCGTGTTTGAGAAGCACAGGACCTAATACCATCCCTCAGGAAAGGAAAATATGTGAAAAGCACCATGTCCACAAGTCGCATTCTGTAGTCACTGGAAAAATGGTGTCTTTAACTCAAGCACCTGCAACGCAATCACCTCATCCGCTTTGTCTCCTGTCCGGTCCTGCCGCTTATTGCTCTAAGTAGTGAACACTTTATTGATCCAACTCAAAGGTAATGTAAAGTACAAGGCTATACCTATTATCTCAACGCGGACCTTCAACACACCTTTTAGAACACAACACGTCAACACTTGGTTGAACTGGTAGTAGTAGCTGTGTGGCTTAGACTACCTCGTGCGAGGGGACCCGTAACTCTTTATCATCTTGCCGAGCCACCATGCCCCCACAAGACTGACCGGAACCACCACATATGCGCCGAGTCGCAAGTTTGCCTCTGTCTCCTTTGATAGGACACCTATCCTAGACCAGTCCCCACTGAACGCGGCATCAATGTAAGCGAGCGTGAAGAGTACCAATGCAGACTGCACCCAGAATGACGGCCTTGAATAGAATGGGGTTTCAGTTGGAGCCGGTGTACCGGTGGAGGGCTTCTCCGCCTCTAGTTCCTTGGACTCCTCAGTCTGCGCCCTCTGTCTGCTTATACTACCGTGATTGAACCCTCCAATCTGCAACCGGCGGCTAGACTTCCTTGGTGATCGGTCTGCTGACCTGAGAGGAGAAGTAGACAGAGAGCCAAATGCGGACGGCTGGATAGGTGCAATTGTCGCGGGGCGCAGATGTGATGCTTCCTCTCGCTTCCTTACAATCCATGCATTGGTCTGCTTTGAGGCTGTAACTTTAATGCCCCGTTCTCGCGGACTGCCTTTGAAGGGGAGAGCGCCAGGGGAAGAATTGCAAGCAGAAGTGCAACGCTGACAATCTTCTAAGGACGATGGTGCCTGAAAACCTGATGTTGCTCCTCTGAATGTGCAAGCATGCGACTGCAGCGTCTGTGCAGCCATTGTAAAGTATGGGGCGGCGTCTCCTGATGCAACTACTTGGGCAGAAATGAACTGAAGAGCACAGGATTGCACAGGAATTGGACAAGTCAACTGTGCAAGATCGACTTGGCAAAAGATTCGCAACTAACCATCTGAAATCCGGCATAAAAACGGCCAATGCCGAGCCGCCACGTGCCCCCCTCTTCGTTTCTGCCGGTGGCCTTGAGATTCCGCTACGGGGTCTCTCCGACCGGGTCTGTTCCCGAGTGGGACATTTTGAGGGCAAGAAAACGCGCCTCGCACATTGCACGGTAGGGCCCCCGGGTACTTATGCGCCATTTTTGACCATTCGTGTACGCATTTTCGACGACCTCGACCAGACTCAGCCTCGACTGCAGCGGACTGCGGGCCTAGAACATACCAAGTCGGCGAAGGCAAATTCTCACTCTCTCATTTCCATATGCTTTCGGGCAACAGAACGCCAGTGCGACCCGGGTTGCAGCGCTTAAAGCCTGGACCCATGGCTTTAGAGAAAAATTTCAGATAAGTGCATGGTCGGTTGATCGATGGATTGCAGCGGCAGCATGTTACTATCCCAGCCTTTTGACGGACCCTCATGTGCCGTATGATGGAAACCCCTGCAAAAGAGCAGATGTATGTGAAACATGCTTATTCAATCACCATTCTTTCTCCGTTGATCGAGACGTTCTGGAAAAAATGTACGTTCCATGCCGGGGAACAAATATCCAACGTGTTTGTTCAAGTCAAGAGCTCCATTGGGTGGTGTACCACATTAGGACTTGCATGATCTTCCTTCAAGATTGGATATGCTACTGAAGGGACCGACATATGAAGTGCTATTGTCACGCCAGATTGGCTCCTTGCCATAGCGCGTCCTGAGCGCGCGCGCACGCGCATCGCGCCG